TGGGTTGTAAGTGCTGGACCTTAGATTGTTTTTTCCGTGACGTGCTTGACGCAGTCGTGACTTCCATGGGTCGAACTCAAGACTTCCAATGTGATGTAAATGATATCATGACATGTATCATACATATATACACTACAAACCTGTACAACGGGTACAAACCATGTGCCAACCAACTAGAAGTGGCTGATTCCCATCAACGGTTTCATCCATGCATATTGTTCAAACATGTTTAAATCATTTTTTCGATTCAGGGATTATCGAACATCACTCATGACTCCCAAGGCTTAGCGCACGTATATGCTCAGAATAATGCTCCAATGGTGGTTTGTCCGGAAAACCATATCAGACTTAGCTGACCTTTTCCAGTTTTATGAAAATTTAGATGTAACATGAATTAACCCCAAAGGTCTGATATTCTCAAATTCGAGATGTTTTCTTCTCGCTGCGAAAGCATTTTGCACCGCTTTGAGGACATTGCCACGTCGTGCAGCAGTTTTCAGGCCTTTAGCCCTTCGTCACGCTTCGGGGGGAGCTATGACAATGGATGAGCAGTGGCTGCGATGTACCCCTGGTGGTTGATTAGCAAATTACTTTTTTTCGATGGTCAACACATGCAGATTCTATGAATTCTATGAGTTATGGCCATCCCACCGTCAATAAGGGATTCCGGGCCACAATGGGTGAATATAAACCCCGGGCCCCTTTGCGGGATGAGAATGACAGGGGGTCCTTAAAAAGACGGGACCGTGGCAGAACCAAGATGCTGTTTTCGATGGGATGAACCAACCAGATCATGGGAGGTCGATCAAGTAGTATACAGTATGGAGATGGAGATATTTATGGAAAAGAGACTTGCAACCCTTACGTTTGTTTACTGAGGATGAGGAGTATACCATAGTTCAATGATGTTAAATGGATTTGGCACGAATGTGTGGTGAAACATGTCGACCAACCAATAGGATGCAGTTGTCTTTGCCACGTGTGTCCATTCAAGTAATCGACAGTCCATGGTCCTGTGATGAGGAAAGGCCTTGGTTCAACATGGAAAGCCAACATGGCCAGATATTGACTATATGTAATATGGATCATGATTTGTGTATCGTTCTATCTATCTTTTTTTACAGAGGTCCATGCCAGTTTTTAGGGGGTTATAGTATGTTATAGTATGTTATAGTATGTTATAGTATGTTATAGTATGTTATAGTATGTTATAGCATCGAAATCCAAATTGCCTATGATGTATATTTATGATGATCATACATGATCTGTATCTTTAATGTTCTTGAATATCGAAAGCTCTCAGGATCATCGCAGTATATGGCTGGCAAATCTCTATAGCGATGAATCTTTACGAATTCTAGGTTGGTTGTAACCCCAGCAACCGCGAAAGGCAGGAACATAATCAACTCTGGCGTTATTACCATATGGTTATTTCACGACATAGCCATGGAAAATCACCATTTTGAAATTCGGTAAACCATCTATTTCTATAGGCCATCTATACCATGGCTATGTTAAATAACCCGAGGGTATATACTGTTCATGAACCATGGTCCCATCATTCAGCTGGGGGACCCACAGGCGCCGCCACACCAATGATCCCGTCTCTAAGGGGGGTCCATACCCTTGATCCATACCCAAACATGAACAGTTGTACTTGTACCACGCCACTTTAGGATACCTTCGAAAAATAGGTTTGGATCAAACCTCTTACATGTAACTGACTCGTTCTTAATAGGGCTGTATAAGTGTTTGGATCAATCCTCTTATACGTGACTCCCTAGTTCCATTCGTTAAAACCACATTGTCATTGGGTAAATTTTGCGTGTTCGCTGGTTACTGTACTGTATGTTTATATTGTTGTTGATTGAATCCCCATTGCTGTTTGCAACACTCATTTTCTGCTAATGTCATCTTCTTTTTTTGTTGGTCAGGTTTCACTTTGTTTTGGTTGAGTCCCCAGTTTTGTTGGTTAAGTCTCAAACTGTTTTGTTGATACTGTATGTATCACCATTTTATTTAATGAACTGGCCGTAACTGGCCCGTAATTGCAAGACGAGGTGACCCTCGCCCGGTGGTCGCGAAGCGCGCAACAGGTAGGATGCGATCGGGACAGATTTTGAACAGTTGCCGGGATGAGTCAAAATTTAAGCCCGAGGGGACCACAGATTTTAGTTTGGTATTAACATGTACCATTTAATACCATGACTTTTTCCGGGTACCCAAATACCATGACTAATACCTATATATATATATATATACAAATAAGATGACCATTGGTTAATAGGGCTACCCAAGTTTGACCTATATCCAAATGTTTGTTGAATAGTCGCGAATTTTTCCAATCGTTTTTTGATCATCCTAATTGGCCGCAGGGATTGGTTACTCGATTAGATATACCCCTGGCTGCCAGTTTTATTTGTTAATCGATTTACCCAATATCTATATATTGATTCATCTGAATTAATTCAATGATGAACCGTTTACCTTGAAATATATATATATATATATTTATACAGATACATAAATCCAATCCAATTGAATCTAACTAAATCTATTTGGCTCCATGTATGTATTTGTTGCATCTCTTGCTGGCACAGTGATCGCCAACTCAATCGTACATTGGCATTTGTTGAACCATCAGTCAGCCAGACATACTTAGATGTGCATTCCAATAGGGGATGACGACCCTTCCTGTAGAAAGTCTCACCATTTCTTGGGTAATCCTTTCTGGGGAACATGTTTCATACTTTTGAATGATTTGCTAAGCGAGATGGACATTCTGGTAGATTTGTGAATGTCAGAACTTTTGGTGGGTCACAAAAGATGTTGTTGGTCAAAGATGTCCAAAATGTTTGAATCATGCTAAGCAACAAAAACAATGTTTGCTTAAAACGATGTGTTCACTGAAATTGTTTTGCTGCTTGATAAGAACAACCTCAGAATTATGTTCTGAATAAAACCATATGTTTCCTGCATAAAACCAATAGTTTTATCCAACAATGGTGGCCCTCGGGGGAAATTGTCTCTGTCCGCGCTTCAGTTGGTGTACAGCCGCGGGCACAGGCCCACCGGGACTGGTGTGATATGGTAAACCCGGGTTGCCATAAACCTACTTTTGGGGGATCGTTTAGCTATGTTCGGCCATTCCTGGCCTGGGGATACTTTGTTTAGTTACAGTTGGAGTTACCCGCGACAGCAGTAAAGGCCACATCTTTGCAGGCTTGTGTTCCTAGACTACAATCCAGGCCCAGTGTCCATCGACGACACACAACTTCGGAGGTTTGTCGTTGCAAAACAACATATTACAGTATATGACAAATCCAGGTTCTGTTGGCTTGTAAAGATCAATGTTTAATGCGCATCTTTGTTGGATACACCCTGGTAACTGCATGTAAGTATACGTAAAATCACTTACTTTTTTAACACTTTTTATTTAAGTAGTTAGTAAGTTTATTAATACCATGTCGTTGATCCCTGTCTCTATGACCAAACAGAACAAGGGATGTTGTTCTCCATGGGCGAACGTCCGGGTTGGACGGAACCATCTAATCACTAATTCCATTCATTTGTTGCATCTTCCTGCCTGATCCTATGCTGCGCCAAACTTCCAGGGCGTTACCGAGGGCGGCTTTGCCTCAGGGTCAGCCAGGCGCTCGTTTTTCATCTCCAGGGAGAGCTGAGCCATGGCCGCTGGGTTGTTTCACATCTCTGAGTCAAACCCCTTGTAGCCTGGTAAGTACCAAAAAAGATGGCAAGTGAATGCTCATCACTCCAATAATGGTAGGTTTTGATCCATCCCCAGGCTCTGTGTGAAAATGGTGTATACCCCTCAATATGGTAATTCAGTAGAGAATTTGATGATAAACTGTGGATATTTTGGGGTACTATGTTTTATAGACACACCTAAACATGCTTGTTTTCACCAAGAAAGGATAGGATATTCCACCCCAAATTGGTGATACAGCTGATGTAGCGTCTCACCACCGGAGCTGGTATTCTCAACTCGGGTGGATAGCTGATGCTGCTGTAAGCCCCAAGAATAACCTGAAGTTTGGGATGATCACCCTTTGGTAATTTAACATAGCTATTGAAACTGGCACATTTATGGTTGATTTACCCGTTAAAAGTTGTGATGTTCCATAGCTATGTTAGTTTACCAGAGGGTAACTATTCTCACATGAAACAGCATATCCAAAACATATGCACGGTGCACGGTTGATGAGTGGCTTTGCAACTTTATCAGGTGAATATTGCAGGGCTCAGACTGGATCCAAGTGAAAATCAGCCGAGTATCTACTTACAACCAAGGATACCTGTGATACCTCTTCATTGTGGCAGGAAACGCGGGTCAACCAATAATCCAGTAGATAGATTTGTATATGATACTGTATGATATGACATAAATATTCCTGTAACCCTTGGTAGGTGGAGTACGTTCTGGAATTTACAGAATTTACTCCAATTCCTACGTACTAATTGTAGGAATCATCCTAGTCACACCATACGGATTGCAATCCCGGAGTACTTGTGTTACCCGATTCACAAGTGGCTCTATGGTTTCGAAACCATACTTGCTGAGCAGCTTTATATTCCGTGGAATGATTGTCGAAGTATTGGCGGGAATTCCAAGGAACACCATGGCGAGCCTACGGGAGTCAATTTTGGATCCTTGGAGTGGTCCCTACAGATCTAAAGTACAGAAGTGTGTGCCCTTCAAAACATGGGTCATGCTCAAGATGATAGTCATCCTGTCATCCCATGAACAAGAATTCATATATCCATTGGGATCCCTGTTGATGGTGAGATGGCACATATGAACTGGGCCCTTCCGGTGGTTCACCGGCAACTTGCTGGCAACCGACAAGGTGGGCGCCACAGGTAAGTTGGTTGATAAGCCCTATTAAGTATAGTCATAGTTTCCATAAACCCTAGCTAAACTAGTTATAAGCCAACTTAATCCCACCCCCCTATATTTAACACCTCCTATAATTGTTTCCCAAATAAGTGTAAATGGGAGGTGTTTAGCTAATCTAGCTATGGTCACTCCAGCCACTGGGACCCACTGGGACATCCACCTGAGTATCAGCCTCGTTCCTTCAGTTGCCGAAGACCCTTCCTGGGGGTTGGAAGTATGGAACTGCCAGGTGGAAAAACCTGAAAAGGATAAATAAATATATATATATATATATTTGTAATATAATATGGAATATACATAAATATACCCTTCCGATCGAAGTACCTTCTTAGGAAGCGTTTGGAACCATAATTGTAGGGATATAATAATGTGATATGAGCTACAGCCAAAATTTACCGTAATGGAAAGTAGTATTCGAGACATCTTTATTTTTTTGAAATTGAGCTGGGGCTTGGAAAACGATAATACACTCAAAAAAAATAACATTTGCTATATTCCCAAAACTTGAAAAACGATAATACACTCTTCAAAAATTGATGACTTGGAGCTATATACTAAATATTGACCGTGGCCCATATAATAAATATATCATATCATATATACACAACTAGCTGAACATCTAGATTTACCTATGCACGCAAAAGTCCAAGAAACCACGGGAAAGTAGCATCCCACCCACTTAACATAGATCCTGAGAATTGCCAATATACTTGAGGAAAGTAGTCTTCCGACCTCCCATCTAGGGAGTGTTTTTCTTGGTCAGAGTGATGGTAACTCTATCAGCAATGGGTTTTAACTAAGTTTTCGAGGTACCATGCGAGGATAATCACATATGATAACCAACTATATCGCCATTACTTGAGTATATTTGCCAACTGATTCATGGTGATAGATTGTTGACTTGTTGACATACATAGTAGCTATATTATAATTTACTGTAGTTAGTGAAACCCTCCCCAGGAAGCGTTGTTCCATTTTTTGCAGAACTGGCCAGGAAGTGTCCACCAGTCCCGACATCTCCAATGAAGGCCACAGATGGGCGAAGCGGCGAAGCATTTCAGCAAAAAGCCTGGATTTCACCAGCAACACAAGCAGTGAATCCCTCGATTGTAAACTGAAATAGCTATGGAACATTGCCAACCAGCTGTTCGATGATTTACCCCTAAAAAATGATGTTTTTTTTTATTTCAAGCTGTTGGCTATTAACAGAGGGTATCTTGGTACGGAAAAATAGTTGGAATGAATCTGCGTGAGGTCATCCAAGTGATGATGTCACTTCTCTCGCGGGACATGTGTCTTCTCTCGCCCTACCTTTGTGTATTTCTGTGGCCATTATGCTTCTGAAAATCGGTGCCACGTTACACCGAAACCAGGGATGATACTTTTGGGGTTTGATGAAGCCATCAACCAACCAGACACCTTCAACTGTGTGTGTGAGACACCTCTATCGATGAGATGTTTGGTACTGCTGGGTGCCTTCGCATGATTTGTTACTGTAAGTGAGAATTACGGGATACTATCCTGAACACTGGGGATGTTGATGATGTCAAACATGGGCATGCAACCACCAACAGAAATGGGGAGCTGGCCATGAATCAACCACGGCCGCTGGGATGATTTCCCTGAAATTGGTAACTGGGCTCGGAAGAGCTCCGATGGCACCTGGGATATGTTTTCGTTCGGATATACCACTCTTGCTATTAGTTTACGACTAAGTTGCGGGGATCACCCCAGCGGTATGTCTAGAGTCAGATTAGGTTTCAGGTTTTGGCACGTAAAGGTGATTTGTTTTGCATAGCATTTTTTGGGTAGTTTAATATCGTTGCATCTTGAAATTCTTGTGTCAAAGGCCACCGACCAATATATAATGGTGAATGGGCTAGCCCTTTATCATTGCTTGTTGGCTGATAAGCCCTTAGTAAACAATGATCGTCTTTATTGTTGCGGTTGAACCAAACAATGTTTTAATCCTTAGTAAAGATTATTGTGGGTAGTATTGTCAAAGGAAGCTTAGAAGTCTATACTTCCGTTTTACAGACATTCAAAAGTCAACACCACCACCACCACAACCACCACTATCACAACCACAACTACCACAACCACCACCATCACAACCACCTGAGTGGATCTGAGAGTGAGTTGAGGTGAGAGTGGGATGATCTCAGAGTGACTTAAGATGAGGGTGAGATGATCTGAGAGTGGGAGCAGATGTGAGTGAGATGATTTGAAAGTGAGTTGAGATGAGAGTGGAGTGAGACCATGGAGAGTTGCACTGAGGGTCAAATGAGAATGAGCCGAGATGAGCTCAACTCTCAGTTTTCAAGGGAAGTCTTTAAGCTTTCAGTTTTTGAAGATTTTGAAGGAAGTCTCGCACAAAAGCTTTGCTTTCACACCTTCACCTGTCAGTTATTGAGGGAAGTCTTGCACGAAAGCTTTGGTTTCACAAGTTGAAGCAGGTCAAGCGCGACAAGGTTGCGGCAATGAGATTTTAAGATTACCTGTTGTTTTTGGCTCTTTTCATGTGTCCTTTTAAAATTCATTTACTGTAAAGGTTCAAGATCGTATACTTTTTTTTTGCTTTGGCGCCTAGATCTGGTTTTGGAGCAGGTTTTGGCCAGGAGAAGCTTGTGTCTTGCGAACTTAGTTCTATCGGCTTCTGCAACCTGGTGCTTGCAAATTGCATTGGAGTGGCTGCGTGATGGTTGCTCTGCGTTGCTGTTGCGCACGTAGTTCTCTGTCTTCTGCAACTTGCTGCTTGCAAATCGCATTGGAACGGTTGCGCCAAAGTTGCGACGACGAGTTTTGGATGATATTTCTTGCTTTGGCGCTTTCCCTTTCCATGTTCCTTTCATCTTTCAAACTAGTTTTGAAAAATGCTTCAAAATCGTACTTGTGTGGCTTTGGTGCCGAGATCCGTTTTGTAGCAGGATTTCGCCTAGAGAAGAGCTGAGATGATCTGAGGCTGAGCTGAGAAGAGCTGAGATGAGCTGAGAAGATGTGAGAAGAGTTGAGACGAGTTGAGAAGAGCTGAGGAAAGGAGAGAAGATATGAGATGAGATGAGATGAGGTGAGAAACGCTGAGAAGACATGAGATAAGGTGAGATGGGAGGCACAGACTGCGGTGACAATGGGATGCAAGAAACAATTTCCAACTTGAAAAGAGATGGTATCGGAATGAAAAGTCAAGAGATTGTTGCTGCGAAGCACAGCGGGCCTGCCCGGGTACTACGTGCAGACAACTATAATCCACGATAGATATATAAATATATATAATATATAGTTGATGATCTAAGAACTATGATCTGATATAGATAGCTGATAAACCCTTAGCAAATAAGTATTATTATGTAGTTAAACTTAGTATACAGTATGCACTTTATTTTTGTCTCAGCTTTTGGGTTGGCTGAATTTCCATAAGACATCGGCCCAGGGGATGGAAGGAAATCTTCGTGTGGCAAGCATCGAGCAGTTCCTCGAAAAAGGCGAAGTGCGATGGGTGTTTATCTCTGCATCTCTAGTTTGATATGGTTTTATGTGGTTGAATGGGGAATAATAGTGGGATAGTAAACAATGGAATAATACATCATGGTTTACCTCCTGGTAGTCAAACATGGCAATGGGAAATCCACTGTAAATAGAAGTATGTATATATATATATTTATTTATAGCTGGGAATGCCATCTACAATTGGTGGATTTTCCATTGCCATGTTTGATTACCGGAGGCTCATTTCAGGCAACAATGGTTGATACTACCAGTCTCCTATCAACCCGGACCAGAGGATGTGATTGCCGCAACTTCGAGATGACCTATATACAACATATTGTTGTCCAAAGATCTTCTGATGGGTTCCGGCATTTTTAAGAACTACATTCGTGATAAGTCAGGAGGGTTATGATCGCGCTCGATATCTGAATATATACAAGTTCAGTAGACATGTTCCAGATTTTGGCTGGTAGACTCCTTTCATGTTCTTGAAATGATTCTAACCCCAGCGACCATCTTCCAGAGCAGGCAGCCATTCCTGGCGCGGCTGGGGCAAGTTCGGGAGGCGTCGGCTTTGTTTTTTTGCTTCCCATCGGGGTAAAGACACGTTTAGGAAGTTTATGGAAGTTTAGTCCTTTGCATGTTGTAGGTATATTAGTTTCGGTGTTTTTTTGCTGCAATTTCGGGCATGCATAAGATCCAACATATGAAAATAACACAACACAAGTATGTATGTGCTACAAATTAAACTATAATTGGTTTTCTGCTAGGTATCTAAGGTTAATGGTATGGGGTGGTTACCCCCAACATGTAACCCCTGTTTGAATTCGGGCAACATGGTCGCATGATGCTAAAGTCCCTGCATGAGGATGGGGTTGATGGGTCGCCTCGAGGGGGTCACAAACCCTCTGTTTGTTGGCTTTCAACTACCGTGTTTGTTCTATGCCTGTATTCGCGTCTAGATTCCTGTGTTGGATGAGTCCAGAGTTGCAGCACCAAATGTTTTCATGTTCTTTTATGGTTACTAAGTCCTGAATGTTTGATGTTTTTCTCCGCTTTTCGGTTGGTGTCATCCCTATCTGTGTTGGTGTTGTAGCATCATTTCTTCGGGAAAATGGCGAGTTTTTGGTGGGTCAGATCATCATCTTCGCTGGTCAAATCGGTGGGTTAAATCCCGATCTCCGTTTCGTGGCCAGACCGCGCACCCTGGCAAAGCTGGAGCGGGCTGAGCTGGGTTCATTTGGGGAACCATCGCACGATGATTGAACTTCGCAGGTGCATGACTGGAATTTATGCATATATGTATGTATATATATATATGTGATTATATGTGTATCTATCTATCATTGCATATTGCATATACACTTGGTGATTATATGGGGATATGAGGATTTGATTGATGGGGATGCGAAAGCAAGAATATATGATCCCCTGTGAGAAAGGGACTGGAGGGGTGGATGGAATGTATCGATCTTGTCCAGAAGAATTGGTGATGGAACCAGAAGGAAAACTTGAGATATGGGTCCATAACTATTCTGCTTCCTACTCAAATGATGATCTTAGCAACACAAGTTTTGATCCACATTTGTCCAACAAAAACATGAGCGATGGCATTGAATCAGCAAATGCAATAGATTCTGAGACAACAAGCAGATTGGGTTACACCCTCCAATAATGTGACAAAAACTGGTATGTCTTGCTCAGAAAATGTAGCAGAAACATTAAAAAAAAACGTGATGTCTTGGCAGAATTACAAAAAAAACACAGGCTGTGTCACGTTTCATTGCATCCCTACCGTGGTTGGTTTAAACACCATTGTGCAATGTTTTTTCTCCGTTAAAATGTGCTGGTTCTCTCCACTTGAATTACTTGCTTGCTGTTTAACAGTAAAGTCAAGAGGGTCAACAAACTTTTTGAGGGTGATTCCAAGGGCATTCCTCAATTTGCTGAAATTGGGTTGCTATTAGCATTCAAGAAATGTGCAGCAACAGCAGCAATGTCAGCACCAGGATCATGATCAGGGTTAATTATATAATGAGCATGAGAAAAAATGATACGTGATAAGAAACAAAAATTGGATGAGCTACGGAAGGGTCAGTAACCCTGAAACTTGTGTCCCCATTTTGGACTCAACGGGATAAGATGGGATAAGCACTAAATTTGTACCACACAAGCGGGGTCGGAGAAGGGCTTTACTAGTTGGGAAGTTCCCATCACTAATGGTGTGGCGCAAAACCAGCTGCAGGACGATGAACATCTGAGCCAGGTTCTGCCCACGGTGTAGATGTCTCACGCCAACATATTGCGCTGTTGGATGGGGCCCAAAAAGATCGGGGTCCAACAAGGGTCAACCCTTTGGATGCTACAGTGATAGCCCACCAACTATGTTTTCATCTACTTGCTTATGTGTACCTTGTAAGAATCTAGAAGTACGGGCAAACACTCGATTTGCATGTGGCCCTCTCAAAAGCTTAGCTCGCGCGTGCATTTCGAAAGTTATCAAAAACCCAGAAACACCAAAATCCTAAAACATGAAATCAGAAAACCCTAAACCCTTGAAACACATGGGTAAACTCAAAGTAAGAAACTACACATTGAACACGGACCCCCTGAAACCCTAAATCTTGATTCCTAAAAACATAAAAACTATTGGTATTTCCTTGTGATTTGAATGTCTATGTTTATGTTTGAATTACAAGCACATCCTGGGAGTTTAGAAAATAGAAATAAATAGGAACAAAAATAGGATTAACCTCACCCCAAAAAAAAGGAAACATATGAAGGGACAAAACCCGTGATTTTGACTTCCTATTTTTCCTACTTTTTCGTATTGGTTTTCTTTTATTTTCCTATTTTCCCATAGTTTCTTTTTTCCCTATATGTTTGGCCCAATTTTGTCGAGGTTTTTGCAAATTTGCAATTTCCCAGAATTTTTAGCCAAATTTAAGAATTCAGTTTTGGTCACCTCCGTGTTTTTTCTTATTTTTCCTATTTTTCCTAGAAAGGTGAACTTAGGAAAAACTTCGAGCAAATTAGGAAAATAGGAATCGTATAGAATCTATTGCATTTGTCAGCTGGAAACTCTTATCGCTGCGATTGTTCCTAATTTTCTTGCCTTTTTTTAACCTGTCCATAAAAATAGGAAAAAAACATGGAGGTTAACACAAAAAATGAATTCCGATTTTTGGCTAACCGTTCTGGAAAAAAATTGCAAGAACCTCGACAACATTAGGAAAACCATAGAACTAGAAAAACAAGGAGAAATAGGATCAAATTATATAGGAAAACCAGTAGGGAAAAAATAGGAAAAACTTCGGGAAAAAAATAGGAGGTCAAAATCACGTTTTTTTGTCCCCTCATTGTTTTCCTTCTTTTCTTTGGGGGTCAATCCTGGTTTCTAATGGGTGCCTGGAATGGGCAAACATAAGTCTAGGTATATATCATATATACACCACTCAGCTTCATAAGATAATCATTTGCAAATCCATAAGGTAGCCACTTGCAACTCTTTACAGTTTTATTTATTAATTATATGTTTATACAAACACCACAAGCACTTGGAGTGAAACACCGATTCATAGCATGTCAACACCATTTTCCTTGGCCAAAATGGTGCCTCCAATGGGTTTGACCGCGTCCAGTGGCGCGTCCATGCCCTCAAGGGATGTTGCGTTTGTCAGCCGGGCCTACAAAAGAGGGGCAGGGAAGAAGCGCAGATGGACTGAAGAACATCACTGGTGGTTTGGAATGTGTTTCATGCTTGTTATAAATCATCCTCTTGATATATTGATGGGACATATTTCTTTTTATTTTTTCTCAGAACAATTGAACTCTTGGATAAGTATTATCAAGAGTTTATATATAAAAGTTATCATTATATGATATTATATGATTGTTTGCAATTGCACACCCATCAACCGATCTAACAACCGTTGGTGAACCACAGTTACAGGCTAGTAAGTAGTTTGACATGCCGTCTGGTAATTTAACATAGCTATGGAAAGACGCACCGTATGTTTAATAGGCAAATCATCGATGTGCCAGTTTGATAGATTATGGTTGTCTGGGATCATGGGAATGGGCTGTTTTAAACACCCAGATTGGGATTGAGTCAACCATCTTCATGGTTAAACATATTATAAATGTGGACTGATGGATGGACTGATTCCCCTAAACAATAATAGTCCAATATTATCATAATCTTAATTTCGTGGAACATATTATTCTGGCCCACTGACCCATGCTCATGTCAAAGTCAACATTCAGCGTGGCCTCAGGGAAGAAACAAAAAGCCTTGGACGGTAGAATGTTTCGGGTCTCTAGGATTAGAACCATATAGCATCATATAGCCATATATTCACCACTATTAACCACTATTAACCACTATTATTAACCACCATTAACCACCATTAACCACCATTAACCACCTATTAAACCACCATTAATATAGCCATATGATCAACCATTAACCACCAACGCCTCCGACTTGGTCCCAGCCATCGTGAATTTCTTCAGGGTACGACTCCCGCGCTAAGGGCTGAACCCGGAGAATGCATCACACCAGAGTTTTGTCCTTTCGTTTTTGGATCTCGGGGTCAAATTTTGCCTTTTGTTAGAAACCTTTGTTATAAATGTATATAATGTCAACCCCGGATTCATAAACCATGGTTTATTAATTAGGGGGGTACTCCTCCAATAGTCATAATCCAATACTTAAATGGTACCCCCCCCCCAATAATAATAAAACCAATCTCTGGGATGGCCCCGTAACTGACCATCCCCACCTCATTTCACATCTCATTCCCTTCACCGCCTGCAGCATCCACTTTCGACGAACAAACACAAGCAAAAGATCTCAGTGATTCAACAGATGAGATTTGCAAGTGATGTGTGTTTGTATTTGCAAGTGTACGTGAGAAGTTTAGGATAGTTTAGGTAGCTATCGATGTTGAGTAGCATTTTGAGTGAATGTGTTTTTGATCTTGTTTAAGTGTACGTTATTTCTCAACTTCATTCGACCACCACAGTGTTCGTGACAATGCAACACTTGCAATTTATCTGCAATCTAGAAGGATCAGATCATGGTGATGGTTTCCTAATTAATATGTGTCTAGGTTAGTGTAGAAAACCATTATTCTAAATTATAGATTGATTATAACATATTGTCACAAAAAAATAAATCCCGAAATCATATTCTTAAACTGTTGGTTCTGTTTTTTGTATATCCAATGATATATATATATATACATAATTATATATAAAGTTTACTGTAGCATTCAGTCCCCATGTATAGATGGGTTCCTGAGACTTATGTGATAACTTATGGTGTCATAATATGTGTCTATGTATTCAGTTAATATATAATTAACCCACCATTTGTCTTCGATAACTGCCAATTCTTGATGGTTAGCTCACCATTGTTAATCATTGTTAATAGTTTAATCAGTTTAATCATTATGTTAGATGGAAAAAAATCCGTTGAATCTCCATGTTTCATGATTTTTTATAAATCCCATTCCCATTAAATCTCCATTGGCTCATTGTTTCATTCACCCATTTGCATCTTCGCTGTTTCCTGAACCCACTATTTTTTTTTACATTAAATCCCATTCAAATGTCATTTTGTTGATCAAGTCACCATTGTTCTATTGTTAACCATCATTAAACATCATTCAACATATTATTAACAACCGTTAACCATCATAAACCATGATTACCAATCATTAGCCATCACCAACCATTATTATCCATCATGAACCACTGTTAACCATCATTAACCATCATTAACATTCATTAACCATCATTTACCATGATTGACAATCGTAAACATCATCAGCCAACATCAACCATCATTAGCCAACATTAACCGTCATTAGCCATCGTTAACCATGTTTAAGCATCATTGACAATCATTGACCATCATCATTAACATCATTTACCGTCATTTACCATCATTCACCATTATCAAACATTGTTGATCATATGTTATTAACCATCATTAATCATCATTAAACGTCATTACCCCTTATGAACGACCATTAATCGTCACTAACCATTGTGAACCATCATTAACCATCATTAACCATCATTTACCATCATTTGCCATCATTTACCATCATGAACCACCATTGACCATCACTAGCCATCATTAAGCGTCATTAACCATCATCAGCCATCATTAACCAGTATGAACCATTATTAACTATTATTAACCTGTTTGAACCACCATCAACTAGCATTAACCATCGTTGACCATTATTAACTACCATTATCCATCGATAACCATCATTAGCCATTATTCATCATCATTCACCATTATGATTCATTATGAACCATTTGAAGCATCATTAAGCATCATTAAACATTATGAACTATCCGAACATAAAACCATCCACAGTTGTTTGCATTTTACCATCATTAACCATCATTAAATATTAACCATTTGCCATTGGCATCTCCGCTCCATGGCGCGGCCTCCTGAGCTGACGCTGGACGAGTCCTCGTCCGCCGGCAGCCCGCGGCAGTCGCCGGGCTTGGACTTCCAGCCGCGCTCGACGACCTCGGCGTCGAACCCGTCGAACTTCTCGAAGCTCGGCGAAAGGAACATTTTCACCATCAAGAATGGTGGTTTCAAAAGTGAAAAAATGGTTTTGGATCATGAAACATGGTAGTTTAACCGTCCAAAATCAGGTTTTGATCATGAGAAATGATGGCTCAACCGTTAAACATGGTGATTTTACCAAACATACTATCATACGTTGGATTTAAACCATCAACTAAATTTAATTCAGGATGTAACAATAAACCAGTGAGATTTATATAAAATGAAATTAACCCTGCCTTAAACATCATGACATGGGGATATAACTGCCAAGATCGCGGGGCGTCATGTTTTACAAATGAAAATTAAACCCTCAACGATCAAACATGTTGATTGAACCAAAGAAAAATGACGAGTTTAATCAACAAAAATGGGATTTAAGCAGTGAACCAGATGCTAGTTTCCATGATCTTCCAAACAGTGGACAATTTCAATTACAACTATATACAACTCTGCTGGTTTTACAAACCAAAAAGTGGATTTGAAAACACCATGTAATTGGGATATGGAGGAGCGAGGAGCCTTTGTTCCATGCCCATGCGACCAAAAGTTGAGCACCAGACCGTCGCCGGAGGTATTAGCGTCTTTCCTACTGGGTAAAATTTGTTTTGGTATATATTGAGTTTTCCATAATGGGGGATCCTCAATAGCCGGATGGTTTATCATGGAATACTTATCTAGAAAGGGATGATTTAGGGGTACCTTTTGTTTTAAGGAAACCTCCATATGGATTAGCCATGCACGACAAGAACATGATTCCGCTGGGTATCCAAGATTAGCGGTGAATTTTGGGGCCCATAACCAGGGGTCATCATTACCCATACCCGCGGACAGTTAGGATGTGACTGGGATTCGATTTGAATATATGCATATATATATGCATATTATATATATAACATACATATTTTTTTTTGTGTTGCAAACATGTTTCCTCATGTTTATTTATAGCTCAAAATATATACATATTGATCTTGAAAGTGGTAGATGGATACGTAGATCGCCTGCCAAGTGAGACGTCGCCCGCCAAGGTGGGATGCGCCGCCCAGAAGAAGAAGCAGGTGAAGCGGATGGAATGATGGCTTTGTGTCCGCAAGGATCAAAGGATCAAAGCCTTTGGTAATGGTACCTTAATGACATTTGAATGGAATATTGAACATATTGATGGGATTTGATGGGTTACCCTCTGAGTTATGTAATGGTCAAAGAAACCTACACCTTCTTTTACGGCCCAAAAAAAAGGGGATGAAATTAGGCATGTCCAAAATTGGGACACCACATCACCATTTCGATGATCCTCCAAGGTGAGACCAAACATGTCATACGGCCAATGCTACACATCACATTTGATGACTTAGGCAACATGAATGTTTTTATTTGATTACAAGGGAGGGGCTGGATTTTATTGGTCAATGGGTTTCAATATGATTATGACTATTGCCTTTATACCTTTCTTATTGTATCATACTAGATTGTATCTGATTTATTTTAGTGCCTATTACGCCATATTAAGTGTCCGTTACAACCCTTTATTGATAATGTAATATGTTATTAAAAAGTTCAAAAAAATGATTTTAGATTAAGTTCCATTGTATTTGGTTCTGCTTAAACACGACTATATTTGATGTTTTGTTGTTTGTTGTTTTGATCATTTCGGGTACTTTAACCTTTTTCACTCAAGTCTATAGTGAACGTGCGTTTTGTTTCCAAAAAAATTACCCTATGTGCTGCATTTTCTTTAATGTAGGTGTATCTCCAATTAGTTTTGTATGTTTAATTGATTACTAATGTTGGCTGCCGAATAATAAACTTCCCCCCCTAAATGTTTGATGTTTTTCCTTTTTTTAAGGGGGGTTCAGCATTCCAATAGTAAATTCCTGGAACCCTATTCTGGATACTATACCATGCCCTCTGGACAAGGTCAGAACATGAGTTTTTTGGCAATACTTCATAAAATTAAATTAGGCTAATTTACTTTTCGTATTGGAGAAAAAACTTGAGTTGGGAAAAAAAGTTTCCACTATTGCCATGTTGGGTCCACTATTGGCCATGCCCTCTGGACAAGGTCAGAACATGAGTTGTTTGGTAATATTAAAATTAAATTAAGCTAATTGACTTTTAGTATTGGAGATAAAACTGGAGTTGGGAAAAAAACGTTACTATTGCCAAGATATCACTATTGGTTAGACAACATTAGTCTATCAAATAGTAGTATTTTTTGGCATTAGTGATGTATATGTGGTGTTGATGTTGTTTGTTGCTCCAATCTAGCGTATTGCACGTTTTATCATATGGTATGTTTGTTTTGGTTGTCATGTTGAAAAGACAGTGTCAACTAATATATATATATATATTATAATATATATATATATATTATGGCATGCATGATGCTGCATTAGATTACATTTTGATTGTTTGATGTACTTTGCAATGTTTCAATATGTTTTGCATTACGTTTGTATGCATGTATGAAAGTACTGTAGTATCTAACTTTGCGTTTCTGTGCTTGTTTTCTCCAGTCTAGATAGATAGATAGATAGACAGATATGTAGATTTAGCGGAACATGATTACATGCAATATGTTTTCCATTATTTACTATCTTGATAGTTTTCATTGCTTCCATAACTTTATATTCGACACCAATACACATCCACCGAGTTTCACAACACAATTTACACAGCAAATCGTGACGTCAATGCGGGGGGAACCTCCGACCCTGGCTGATTCCGGATTACCCTCTGGTAATTTAACATAGCTATTGAAAATGACCATTAATAGTGGATTTTCCCATTAAAAATGGTGATTTTCAATAGCTATGTTAAATTACCAGAGGGTACGGATTATCCCACAATTTGTGATCCATTGCTAACAAAATGCACCCCTTCATGAAACAACCCAGGGGTTTATGAAAATCCGGGTTGACATTGCTTGTAAATGAGAGGATTCACAAACAAAACTTCAGTTTGGGTTTAGAAATGATCCAATTTACACTCTGAACTTCTGAACCCCTGGACATGGGACAACCGGCAGAGATGGGTACGTAACACAACGTAACACATATAAGTTTAATTGGGACACAACGCACAGAAATGGGGTTTGAAAGGAACCAATTGTAATTACCCTCTGGTAAATTAACATAGACCCTGAAAATCACCAATTTTTTAGAGGAAACTAATCTTCCAACCTTTATCTACCAGGGTCTATGTTAGTTTACTGGAGGGTACTTGTTTGCCAATTTTTACCATGATCTGTGGTAATTAAGCCACTTTCTTTACCCATGGGCCATGGCTTTGAACGCAGATTGGAGAGCGATGAATCCGATTTGCGGCGGCTTTCACCCAGCAGCAGGTGGCGCCGGAACATGACTATACCGGTAATTACTGCATTTTTTTTGAAATTTGTGAATAGAGTGATATACCCTCTGGTAAACTAACATAGCTATGGAAAATCACCATGTTCAATGGGAAAATAAACTATAAATGGCAATTTTCAATAGCTATGTTAAATTACCAGAGGGTAAGGGTTATACAACTATGTAATGGCCTATTAGGAATTGGTTGATGATACTTTAGGTACTATGATATATTGTAATTGGCAATCTTTATCAATAGGCTTATTTGTAATGGCCTTTTGTTGGATTGTTTGTTGATCTTCTGTGGACAAAATATCTTGTGGTCAAACAGTGTCCTGCGGATTTTCCCAATGAATCGATGGAACAACGGAATGAACGTCCGCCCCCAGCATGCCCGGGTTTTGATTGCGACAGGGTTGGCCACATCAGTATCAAGGAGGGGTTGGTACCTCCACATGTTCGATGATTACTTGACCAGGAGATCTTATTTGGTCAATGTTTGTTTTACTTATTTGCTATATTCATTCTTCCTTGCTAATCACAGCCGATCTTGAATACCCTCCCAAAAAAATAATTTTCAACTGGTTGGATTCACATGTTTCTGGGATGGGTTGAGACTACCAAGCAGTGATGAAGCTTGATTTTAGAAAGAATTCATCCATTGACACCATATCGTGATCTTCCCCACATCTCTTACGTAGTTCAAGGGTTGGGTTTCAGGAGGCAATTGCGGTTCTTACCTGGAAATAGCTGGGTTTTCCGGCAGCATTTCCCGGGACAATTCCGGGATTCGCTTCTGAGTGGTGAGCTCCTGGAGCGACGTTGATCCACCTTCACCGTATATCTATGGAGTCTATTGTTTATAATTATCCATTTGTGGGGTTTTCATAAAATTGATCCCAAAATCCATGGGTTTTATTTGTTCTTCTAGTTTTGGATGGTTTGGGGTACCCCTATTTTAGGAAAGCACCATTATTATATGATAATATACGTGTATTATGTTATGTTATGATATGATTTCACTGAGTTTTCGGAGCTTCCGCGTAGCCCCAGAAAGCAGCGAGAACCTTGATCAAGTGTTGGTTGAATCTGCATGTTTCTTGGCTGAAGATCTTTATTTTTGATGGTTGAATCATGTTGAATACCCGTGTTTGAATATGTTGTTTGTTGTGCTGACGCTTACAGATGTTTGATCGCTGCAACCCTGACGTTTGACCACCCTAAAGTTCTGGAGGGGTTGCGTATTTCCATACGTCCATGTAGGTAAACATGTACTGTATTTTTATGAAATGTAGATAAATGTAGTGTAATGTTTGTATGTATATATGTATATCCCACTATATCCCACTATATCCCACTATATCCCGTTGCCGGATTTGATCCATTTTGAAGACAAGCTGAAGTTACTGTCCCTTTCAATATATTGTTGAGAAGAGGTGACGTATTTGATCCCTGATGAAGATAAATTGTGAGCGAACGTCTGGGTTGGGGCAGCCGTGTTTCTCTTTTTTTTTCTAAAGGCATTCTAAAGTCCTGTTGTTTATGCTTGCTGAAAATGGATGGTTAATAGTGGTTAATGATGGTTAATCATTGGTTAATTATGGCTGGTTGGTGGTTGAGCATTCTTGATGATCCCAACCCAGCTCCAGCAACCGACAATGGCTGTAGGAGCATGGAGGGGGCAAGGCTGGACCGCAACGAATCTTCCAAGAGCTGCAAGAGGCAGGCGAGCTGCTCGCGGTAAGGGACCAGATTCACCCTGGGGTTCTGAACAAACTTCCGGGTGGGTACCATCAAAAACGGTGATTTAACATGATTTAACCATCAAAAACGGTGATTTTATATTGCGGATACAGTTGACCATGTGGATATAGTGATGATGTGGTTGGCAGTTGGTGCATTGAAAAATATTGTAGAACATGTTCCATTTGACAAATGATATGATGATCCATTGACAAACATGTTTTTAGATGGATTAAAAACACCCACCAGTTTTGGCACGCATGGACTCACAATGGCTGTTTGTTTTTCGATCTGAAGCCATTGGTGATTACAATTTTTGTTCATACTCAATATGTTTTTTTTATAGATGATACATGTGCACAGTTATCACGTTCTTTTTTATGTATGACTACATGTTGTATACATGTTGTTATTTACATTATGTTGTTATTTCTCCGCACATGTATAATTGTTTATATTGTAACACATACATATACATATATATATATATATATATATATTATACTATATTACATATATGCGCGAGGCTTTTCCGGCACGCCTTGGCCTCTGTATCATGGGTCAGGAGAAGCGTGAGTCTCAGTGGCAAATTCATCAAAGCCAAGTCGAATCTTCAGCAACTGGAGCTTCAGCTTCTTGCCATTCAGCAGGGTTGGGATGATCCTATGATATCCACTGTTATCCCATATGGGGATGATATCCATTGATATCCTATGATTTTAATTGGGCACCTTGATGGGGATGAAATCCAGGTGGAACAGTGACATGGTGAAGTAGTTGGAAGATGTGAAAGAATCGTCAATGAGGTGTATGAAGGGAACTAGCCCAGCAGTCCTTTACAGCATCAGTCAACACTGTGCCATAGTCAAGGGTTGGATTCCATACCTATGTTCGAGGATGATCACCAATCCATGAATAGCTGGTTGGTGGTTTGGAACATTTGTTTATTTTTCCATATATTATTGGGAATAACAATCCCAGCTGACTTTCATATTTTTCAGAGGGGTCGTTATACCACCAACCAGATAGTGATTTATGTAGCTATTATGTTTGGATTCCTTCCATGGGATGAATATAGCACACTATAGTTTGACCATGCCATGGGAACACATGGACAGGGCCCAACACCCACACTTCTTTGAAAGTTCCCTGACCCTGGCCGAACTTTGATGGTTTCAAGTATGATTTAGTCTAAATCCCATTTTTGATGATTATTGATGATTAAATCCACATGTCTCCATCAGAAGCGACGCTTTTCTACAGCAGTGTTGCGGCATGGCCACCTTCAAACAACTCGCGGCAGGGAGGAGACGGATTTCAAGACCCGGCAGAAAAGGATGGTGGGGCGTCTCTTGACGTTACCTGGGTGGGGGAAAAAGGATCTGAGCGTTGAAAGTGAAATGATCCCCATTAATGATCCTTTAATGGTCCATGGATAATTGAAGAATGGTGATCATTAATGGTGATCCTTTAGACTAGATCCCCATTAATGATCCATACACAATTCTTATTTATGCGCGTCTTTGAATATCGTAAATATGGATTTGCGACGGGAATATGTGCAACGATATTCATAGAGACGCCAGTATTAAAGAATTGTGTATGTTTTGTGGTGCTTGCACAGCTTTGGGGCTCACGAAAGAAACTAGGGGCGCCATATTCAAATACACATGATTTTGATCTTATATGTTTTTACAATGCATAAAGTACATGTTTGCTCCTGAGGACTTCAACATTACTATCTGAATCATGTGCTCAGGAGTTTGAATGAATCTTGCTCTCAGAGAACCATTGGCCGTTGAAAGAATTTAATAATTCGAATTTCCTCAAGACGCGAGATTGCCCCAATGTTCTTTCCCTCACTAAGCGTTACGTACTGTACCGAGTCTGGTTGGCCTCAACCTATACAAAAAAGAAACAAATATTCTAAGATTTTTTGTGGCTGATGCATGCATAATATTCTGGTAGACTGTAGCTATGTGTGTATATATATATATACAATTATATACATGTTATAATATATAAAATTACAATATACAATTATTACATACACTAGTGCATGCATGCATGTATAAATACAGACAGACAGACAGACATACAGACATGCAGACATACAGATATATTGAACAACAGACACACACACACAGACAAACAGACATACATACGTGCGTGAGTGCATGCATGTATACATACAGACAGGCAGACATAGAGACATACTGTGACAGACATATACATACATGCATGCATGCATACAGACAGACAGACATAGACACATACATACATACATACATACATACATTCATACATACAAACATACATACATACATACATACGTACATACTGAAATGCATGCTACAATAAATGTGGTTTGCTACGCACGGTTTATACGCGATCGCATGAACCGATTCCGAAACAGCATCATGGTCAACGATTCATGCTACAATAAGTGGTTTCAACGCAAGGTTTGATTTGCGATCGGATGAAGCGATTCCGAAACAGCAAGTTGCATAATTAATTTTAATATTATTCAATCTTCAGACAACAAATGTGCCAGTTTCAGAGGCCGATACCATTTCTCTGAATGACCAAACTCGAAATCACAAGAGCAAAGGCCCGGAGCTGTTTTTTTGGGGTGGCATTTCGGTGAAATGTTTACAGGCGTTTATATTTTATGTTGTTTTTTGGTGCAAGCAGATTTGGACTAGCTCCATGTACAAGCAAGGATAGGCATGTGTACAGGCATGCGTATCAATAGAGTATGTGTGTGCCAGTGTCAAACTAGCGATGTTCTATGAATATTCCAGGATGGTTATCGGCCCATTGGGGTTCATAAAACCGTGAAATTTGTTTGCCTTTGATGGGATGGATGACGATTGCCCGTGTAATGACCTTTTTTCATACCATGGCACTTTATCAACAAATGATCTTTTCAAAGTCAACAAATGGAAAAAGTTGACCAATATGTGATAAAATCATATAACATCAGTATATGGCACATATCACATATTGGTCAACACACATGATCTTTTCAACGTTCAGCCCGTTGTCAAATCATGGCGATTCCACCGTTGAACATCGCGGCTCCCGTGGGCTCCACTGAGGTGTGCTAAAGAGCACTTATGTCTCCAACTTCATGGTGGTGCCTCGAATGATTTACGGCTGTTTAATATACTGTATATATATATTATCCTATAAGATCCTGTAGCCTATATGTGCCTATATAATAATATAATAATATATATATATATGATGTTATATTATTATAATTATAATCATTATTATTACTAATTATTATTATTACTATTATTATCATTTGTTATTATTATCATTGTTTTATTACTATTATTATGTATAATTATATATATATATATATTACAATGGGAACACATATTTGTATCTTCCACAAGTACATTTACAGATCACACTTGGCTACGTATGGCCTTCCCGGCGCTTTCCGGGCATCTCGGGTGGAGCCCTGAGCTCAGCATCGTTGGGGCCGCCTCGAAAAGAGAATGGTACCTGGTAACAACTGGTTTTTGGGATGTGGCAGGGGGTGAATCCCACATGATTGGTACCCTCTGGTAAACTAACATAACTATGGAAAATCACCATTTTTAATAGCTATGTTAGTTTACCAGAGGGTAGGTTATGTCCCCATGCAATGTACTGTTTCTCACCACCTTTGGGTTTATCAACTTCTAGACTTCTAGATGGTTCATCAAGGTTACAACAAAGGGTTAAACAAATCAATATCTGGGCCCTCAAAGTACCCATTGGCAGTTTACCCAGAATTTTACTACTTTAAACATCTTTAAACCAGTTTTATGGGTGGAGGGTCTAGGTAGATGGATTTTTCAATGAAAATAATCCCATCCCCCGTTCATATTGAACACCCCCATTCTATCGTCCCAGCCATATTTGTTTTTAGTCCCTACTAAACCATGGTTTCTGGAGGGTGTTGTTTAATGTTTGATATAAGGTGTTTTTGGATTTTTCGCAGGATTTATATATATATAACTCATTTGTTTTCCGGCATGTTCAGGCCATTGTCTGGTGAACTTCTCCATGAGTTCTGGTGTTTCTTTAAACTTGGTTATATCAAGTTAGATCCCTAATGTTCCCATGATATTCCCATGACATATTCCCATGATATATTCCCATGATATCCCCATCGTTTTCCCAAGGCCCTGGTTCTCTTTGATGCTTACTGCACCTGTGCTGACATCGACTCTCGTGCCGTCGGCAAAGCAACTCCTAAGGACCGGGCCTAGCAGCGATCCCAGATGCTCCATTTATAGTAATCCCCAAGATAGAAACGTACTTTACCACAATTTTGATGGGATTTTATATGATTTTATATACTAATTTCTATATTTTGGATGTGTTTTTAGTGTATAGTGTATACTTATCTTATCTTGGGTATAGGTTTTGTTGGGTATATGGAGATCGAGCGTACTGATTTTCACACGGCCTTACCATCTCAAAATGCGGAGTAAACCAGTGCACGCAGGCACAGGACACTTCTTTTTCCAGTAAATAATTGGATATAATTGAGATTGATCGAATACCATGGAAAATAGGATTTGACCGACATTGGGCAATATAGGAAGGGCTTAACATTGTCCATCAATCTAAAGTTTTTTGTCCCCGGATGGAGCGTAATGAAACCCTTAACCCAAAAATGAGTCGCGTGTCAACCTCTTTCTACCATCCCTTAAGGGCATTCACAATGTTCTAAAGATGTCTCGTGATTCTTGAGACATGAGCCGACCCAAAGGGGATTTAACGTGATTTAGCACCAAGAATAACGTAAATAAGCACTAATATCACTAATTAACACTATAATATATATATATATATTCGACATTGTTTCACATTATGTAGCACCACCCAACACAATTTGTAGATGGCCGTGTTTGGTCTGGGATCAAGTCTTTGGGTATCCACAGACCTTTACTAAGCCGAGCCATGATGCTTAGGCTTAGTAAAGGGAACCTAATCTGATGACTGGGGATATCTGGGGATAGACTGCAATTGGAATAAACATCGGAATATGATATAAAAGGAATATAGAGTAACCAACAAAATTAAACACCCCTCAGAAACCACGGTTTTCAGTAGGTACTAAAGACACAATATGACTGGGACCATAGAATGGGGTTGAATACTGACGGGGGATGGGATTACGGGGGATCATATAGTAAGTTGAGCCATACACATATCCCCATCCCCAAGGAAAATGTTCCACAAGCGGCCAACCTGAGGAGGGTCATTGTAGACAAGCAGTTAGATATACATCTCACCCCATCTCAACCATATCTGTGGTCTTTGTGGACGAAACAGGCTAGTAGCCAGACTACAAATATCTACAAATAGCTTCTCAAGATATCTCAATAGCTCATATCTTAGTGCATTATGGGGTTTCCAGCCTCTTTCCTGAGACATTGGCTTGAAGCATATTGATTCACATGATCTCACCTTCTCCAGATGCATGGTATCAGCGGGCACGGAGGAGTTTGCTATCTTTTCGGATCTTTGCTTGGTCATGTACACCATCGAGCTCTTCCTGAATATGGCCGTCAAAGGACCGCTTTGGCGATCCTGGGAGATGGGATACCTGAACGAATAGCCGGAATAGCCGTTGAATGAATTTGAACCGTGATCTTCTTGGAATTCCGATGTTTTATGAATGTCAACTGGTCATAGTCTGGTTAGTGGTTTGGAACATTTTTTATTTTTCCAGATATTCGGAATAATCATCCCAACTGACTAATATTTTTCAGAGGGATTGAAACCACCAACCAGTAGTTTTCAATAACATGGAATGGGCTAGCAAATAGTAACAGAAGACCACCCACGGGATTCACGGGTGAGACAAGATGCTTTACAGGGCATAGCGTCCCAAACCTTTCCGGTGCATAGTTTGTTACACATGAACAAACGAGCGATCTTGGAGTAGGGTGAGCCCATCCTCACAGGCAGTCAACAGATTTGCGGGTACTATCGCCAACCAGATGTGGCATCATCAATCCACAAAATAGATCAAAATAGAATGAATCACCTGGTGCTTTACCTATCTATCTATTTTGGAGATATCACCAGTATGAATCATCTATCCATCTCATTTGAAATCTGGATCCTCAAATGGTCTCTCTCTCTCTCTTTATCTATCGGAGGTCCCTATTTTGCTGACTCTCGCAGGACGGGAAATCTTCATGGATTGGACTATGATTCTGGATGTCACCTGGCCGATGGCAACAACGGTTGCTGTGTCAAAAGGCACCCAAAATGGGGTACCAACGGACAATAGTGCATGTTTGTTGTTTAACTATCCATTGTGAGGGGAAGCTTGGACAGTAAAATTGGTTTTGGTCAATCAATTTGCTTGAATTGACAATTGTCTTGAACTATAGTTTAAACGCACACAGCTAGATCAATTCATATTGGATACTGAAAATATCCAGATGTTTGGACCCTGTGTCCTGTAATAACTTGCAGATATGTCGGATGTAGGACTGCCAACTGTGGAGAAGCTACCAGAATGTCACAACCAAACGGCATGAATTTTTACTCAATCGTGTCGGGTGCGAACGATCACTAGAACTATAGTTGCAAATTGCGAGCAACCAAGTAGCCCAAGTAGCTGGAAAGCACAACTGCTTCATCATATGCAAATATACAATAGATCCAGAGAGGCAGAATGTTTATATATACAGTCGGTAGTCACCCAGATCAAGGAATCAAATCTGACATATTTCAGTGAGGTTTGTCAGCTGCATCTCAGGTGGTGATTATTATGTGCGGCTATGGGGAATTTCTGCTGATCCTCGATGCTGGCGAACTTTGCGAGGGTGAAGAACCATTGTAAGATATTGTCAGTTATTTGCCAACAGCAGCTGGGGATTTTATCCAACTACAATCAGGTTCTTGGCACCACAATTTTGGAAACATTGGGGATATGCTACGCTGATACATCTGAAACTTCCTTCACAGCTAAATGGCGCTACCCCCAAAAAACACAACCAAATCCCAAAGGCCGTGGAATTTTTGGGGATTGAGTGCATGCAAGGCATCACAACCACTGTTTTGTCAGCTGCTGAAGAACCATCCTGACAAGTGTGACACACCTCGAGTGAGCTTGGACGACTTCAAGTATGCTGCGGCAGCACTGAAACAGGCAGCTGAGCCTCAAGATTTGAAAAGACCATGAGCAAAAATTGGAGGAGGTGACCAAAGCAGCCTTCCAAGACCTTATGTGCGATGCTGAGTCCGATGCATAAAATTACACCGGCAAGAAATCCCAAACAGTGTGGGGGTGGTGGATGGCAATATACGAAAGTGACGCTCCTGTGGCTCCTTTGCAAAACAGTGGTCGTTATTTGCGGAAGCTATAGTGAGGCTGCAATGCTGCTAGAAGATCAATATAGCAAAGCCACACAATTGGACGAAAAGCCCGCAACCGCAGCTCTCGTCGTGTGCTGACCAGGTAGCAGGAAGGTATGAACACAAATCTCTGGCAGACGCAACTGCGGACAGAGGTCCAGAAACTTTGTTTTCGGGCAAAGTTGTTCAATGCTCTTTCCATGAGCGCGTCCTGGATCAAGCGCATCAACGCGACTGGCGCAATGAAGGATGAACCACTCTCATGGCACTGGTTGCGTTTCACCCTAACCTGCTGGCTGCAGACCCTTGACGCCAGCTGCGCGGCGATGCCCCCAAGAGCCCAAGAGATCCTAATAGCATGTGTTCACGCGCAAGTTCGGCTTGCAAAGCCTTCTTGTAGGGCAAGCAAAAAATCTTGAGCATGAAACTATTCAAGAAGCATGCGCATATTAGACTTGGTTGCAACTTGGATTGTTCATTGGCCCATTGCTTTCAGGTGATGGCCCAGGTCTGTTTCAAGACCGGAAGTGGCCACCGACCACACAAGGAAATTTAAAATTCGCATGTATAACAGGGCTGATAGATTTTAGATGGTGAACTAGTGCACCTGTCCACCTTGCAACTTCAGGGGTCACGCCTGCCCTTGGCTTGTTTCCCAGAAAAGACCCTGGACACAATCCTCCTTTTGAACATGCACCTGGACAGGATGCATAGTAAAGAAACTGAGCCGAGAAACCCACATTTTAAGCTGGATTGCGTTTCATTTTTGGAATCTGGCGGCCATTGTGCACCATGCAGAACATCAAACCGCTTAAAGCCGAAGTGGTTAATGTCCAAATCAGGACTTTGAGAAAGCGTGACGACGGTGACTTTTCGATCGTTTTCGCTCATGATGCTGGCAATGCTTTTGCTGATGCTGATGCTCTCCACCATGAATCTATGTTTTGACATCTGTTTGGACGACGATGGCAATTTTCATAACGAAGGTCATGTGGACGCTGGTATGTCGATAATGAGAATCAAGACAAATACACCTATGTTGGTATTCGTGTTTTTGTTTTACATGTTGAGTGACCATGCACGTGTTAAGTTGCACCTTTGTATATTTATGATATTTATATGTATATGTTCTCTACTGTTTATGTTTGCAGACAGGGAGGCCGATGGTTGTATATTCTCGGTGGCGATCATTCTTGTTTTGAAGAACACCGATCCTTCTAAAGGACCCTTTTTGCCGACAACGATTTGGTCCTGAGCATGGGCATGTTTCGTGCCTTCCGCCTAGCACGCATTGCGCCTCTGGCTCAACGAACAGTGCCCAATTGCCCCCGGGAACAGCAGCCAATAAGATATGGGTTGTCTCAAAAATTGGGATATCCTAAAAATTTGAGCCAGGGAAATCGTGATAAAACATGGGATTTGGAGCCGATGGACTTGCAAAATTTGAGGCAACCTCCACAGATGGGAGTATAACGGGCACATGGTGGTTGGCTGTGGCTGAGTTGATAGGAATAATAGCACACATTTTAAAAAATGAACTTGTTATATACATTGTAGTTTAATCCGTGATGGGTAATCCAAGGCCAGCAGAAAAAATGGTGGGTGAAAAAGGATATACCCCCAGCAAGTGGTGCGTGTGTGATCTCAAGACCTTTAGATAGCTTTAGTTCATGGATCCCATGTGTTAGTTCCGGTGACTTGTTCTAGGCGGATTATTGGATGTATCAATCAGTGTTTATGTCTATTTCCTGCAAATTGCGGAAACATGGAAAAATGTGACTATATGATTATATATGAATATTGGGTTATATGGGGCTATGTTTGCAGTCACTTCGGTCAGATTTCCCCTGTAATTCCGGTTGAATGGTTTTTTTCTCAAATAGATTAGGTGTGATGTCTTGATCCAAGTTATTGATGCCTGACTTTTTGCTGTGCTGTTGCTTATCCCAGTGGTTCGGGTATGGAAATTTAGTTTCGACTGCCAATTGACTTTGAAATACCACAGAATATGTTTCGAATGGTGGGTGTCCAACATGGGCCTCTCTTGCAAAAGAGTACCCAAAGTTCCGACGAGTGGTAGACCATCCTATTCCTTCTTGAACGGAAATTGTGGTGGCATCCCCCACTTACCGACACCCTCAGGTTAGACTTCAAAGATTAAATTTCCCCCAAGAAATACACTGTTTTTTTTTCCGCATCAGGTGCGTTTAATGCGGCTCTTGCGAAAGACGCGCGCGCTGCGTGAACTGCAAAAGCTCGTGACGATGATGGCCACCTGTTGCTGGGCCGAAAGAGTGACGGAGACCATCAAGCGTTGGATCTTGATGCACAAAGCAGGTGGGTGTTATGCAATCCAAACACAAGGATTTCAGCTGATAAAATGGGAATGCAAGGCAGAAATAGTGGCTAGTTGTGGGATATTAACAAGTAAGAGCTGATTTTTCATTGCAGCAAGAGAATGAGGAGCGAATCTGAGACCATGTTTTACTGAGTAAACTAGAGGTTTGTACATAAACTACAAAATGAGACCTTTTTTTTATGTGGCGTTTCTAGCTGCTTGTTTGACCTGGGCTTTTTGTGCAGTCCACTTATATCGGACCCCATTTTTTTAGCATCCCACATCAAGGGCACACATGTTTCAGACTCCGGGTATAGAGTTGGGTGCCCCGATTTTGAACCATATGAGTTTGTACCTTGTAGGTCATGATTTACCTTTGAGTGGTCCATGAATTGCATGAACCAGAATCATCCAGAATCCAAGCACTCAGAAAACCTGAGGTTTGAAAGCTTTGGTGTGGTCGTCTGTATTTTGCTTCTTCATAATGAGTGTGTGGGCCATGTTCATGGTTGAGGTGGGACCGGAAGTGGTTGCGTTTTTTTTTTTGTGTGTGTGTATACCGTGTCGACAATCGCGACACACTCAAAATTCCTTGGCTGGCAGAATTCCACTAAACAAAGTGTTGAGTTTGGTAGGGCAAGAGTTTGACATATATTGACCGAGAAAGATCCTATTTGCAAATCGAGGCATGAAAAAAATGAGTATGAATCAGCATGATTTTGCTTTGTCACATCATATCATAGCTATTGTGCATCTTGAGAGTGACCGTTGTCCGACAGTTGTGTTTTTGGTGCCGGGGCTCTGAGAGGCTCACGACTGTTGTCACATTCTCTATGCTTGGATCATCATAACTGTGGGGTGGGGTGGGGTCGCCCCACCTGCTCGCTGCTACTCTACTGTATGTTCATGCTCGATGCTATGCTTCCGTTCGCTTGCAAGTGTGCACATGCTGGATGCTACGCTACTGTGTACTTTCATTTGCATTTGCACACATGCTGGATGCTACGGTAGGCTAGTGTAGATATTTCCATCTTGCGCAGGACATGGAAATAGATGCTGCGTTGCGTAAGATTGGTAAACTGGCAGCCCGCGCATGAAGAAAAGAAGCTGTGTCTGTTGCAAAGACACACCTGGATGATGCTTTTGGAGATCTTGATGTCGATGCTGATGCTGATGCCTATGATATCCTATGATCATGATGATGATGATGATGATGATGATGATGATGATGTTGTTGTTGGTGGTGATGGTGATGATGATGATGATGATGATGGTGATGGTGATGCTGATGATGCTCGTGATGCTGATGATGCTGATGATGCTGATGATGCTGATAATGACGACAATGATGATGATGATGATGGTGATGATGATGATGATGATGGTGATGATCATAATGATGATGGTGATGATGATGATGCTGATGATGCTGATGATGCTGATGATGCTCATAATGACGACGATGATGATTATTTTGATGATGGTGATGATGATGATGATGATGGTGATGGTGATGGTGATGGTGATGCTGATGATGCTGATGATGCTGATGATGCTGATGATGCTGATGATGACGACGATGATGACGACGATGATGATTATGATGATGATGATGATGATGGTGATGATGATGGTGATGATGATGATGCTGATGATGCTGATGATGCTGATGATGCTGATGATGCTGATGATGACGACGATGATCATTATGATGATGATGATGATGATGATGATGATGATGCTGATGATGACAAAATGATGACAACGATGATATCATCCATGATGATGATGATGATGATGATGGTGGTGGTGAACATTTGGTTTTTCACCCTCCTGGATTTCTCCCCAGGAAAACTTTGAACATGTCAACAGGAGGAAGCCCTTCACATGTTTTCGCACTCTCATTCAATCTGAAGTTCAGCACGGCATTTTTTCAACCAGATGGTTGGGTTTCTGCCCTTTCGTTTTGTATGTGTGTTTTTCTTGCGAGATTGGCGCTTTTAACCACCAGCATTTGGGCAAAAAAAATGTGGTTGATGAAAACCATTCTCCTGAAAGGTGGTGCATCCAATCATCAGCGAACCTGGACTGTTTGATGCACCTCGGACACGATGGGTCGCGCTGGAAACTCCGGCTACCTCATGTTTTTCTAACAGTTTGTCATGGAAAATTGGCATGTTTCATGGGCAAAAATAATTTCTCCTTTTCATGGGTGCATCTACCAAAGTGCTGAGTTTCCGTGGCCAGCTGTTGAATTGCCGGAGGGGAGGGTGTAAATATATAATTATAGGCTAGGTTTTTCTTGATTTGGATGGGATGACGCACTGGGAACGAAAAACACATATCCAATATTATCTATCAAACATGTAAAAACCTTGACGCAGCAATCATAACACTTTGCAAGGAACTGAAGAATTGGTTTTGGAGGGTTGGGGCATGTTTGGCGATCTGCGGGTGAAATTTTTGAATACCTCAAACTTTAACACTGGATAATTAATCCATTAGCGAAAAAATAATATTAATCTATGATTATTGTTATTGTTTTGTTTTTATTATTAAAATTGTGTGTGTGATCCCCAAAATGGTATAAATCCTGTGATGTTATCTAACATCTTATCTGACATAATTACGGGCATGCCATCTGGACGTTTATCTCACATATATTCTGACGTTCTATCTGACACATATTCTGACATTCTATCAACCGTTCTATCTGACATTCTACGTGACATGTATTTTGACACGTTTTTTAGCTGACATATTCTTGCATTTTATCTGACATTTATCTTGAAACATTTTATCAGATATTATCTGGCATGCTACCTGACATTCTATATCCGCCATGTATGACATAGTTACTAAGTTTATCTCGATATATTCTGAGATTTTCTCTCCCTTTTGGCATAGTGTTCCGGGTCCGGCAGAGCCAGAGAGCTTGGACTTTTCTCTGTCCGTGGGTCCGTGTCCGATGGGATGTCTTGTTGAAAATCGAGAGACCCTCACCTGGTGGGGAAAGAATCCATAAGTTGTTGTGAGCATTGATTTGTCCGATTTGTTTCCACCCTAAGACTCTTGGAACACGCAGGTATGTCTTGAAAAAAGGGGTTCCTTACCGCGCTGTGGAAAACCATCAAATTGTTAGCGAAATCATCTATAGATGGGCCATTCTCCATAAAGCTAATTGAATATATTATGTTGAAATATCGGGAGTATGTTTTTGGGATGTCATTGGATGTAAGAAGATAACTGATTAAGAAACAATATGAACGGAAAATGATTTCTATCGCGCGGTGTCCAAAATAGTCGCACCCTTGAAAGAGAAACCACCCACCCGAACATGTCGTGCACAGGGTCCAAGATCTATATTATTGTACGTAGTTAAGGGTAGCGAAATGTTCTATTTATATAACTACAATGTACATTGTAGTTGTCACCTTGGCCCACAATGGGCAACGACATCTCCAATGACCGCTCTTATTTAGCCAACTCAAACCAGTAATTTACTCTACAGTATATTCTACCCCCAGCCCAAGAAAAATATGAAACTCCAAGACAATTTGGTACCTAAGTAGGTGTTTGCCAGACAAGTCTTCAAGGAAAGACTGGCAATGCGCGATTTGAGGATTGTGTTCAGTGCCAAACCGCCGCTGGATCTGTAATGAATGCCAACTTGCTCCTCTTCAAGACTGTCACTGGGAATGCAGAACTGGCCATGTTGACCTTCTGGATATGACGATTTTGGGGGGATGTAATTAACACAATATATGACATAACATAAACGATTAAAAATATCTGTTGTTGATAGATATTTCAAAATAACCACAAAACACTAAGATGTCACTGAATAAACGGAAACATGGCAATACATGTATAAAATGTTGAAAGACAAAAAACACAATTAATTGGATATGGCGTACTCAAAGCATGGTTTCTGTAAAATGGTCCAAACCAATCCATTGACTGTACAATAGTCGTTCTTCAGGACATCGTTGATGCATACCTAGGACCTGGTATGTACAGCATGAAGCGGTGATATCCTTAATGTCCTTTCCATCTTTGTTTATTTGACTAAAATTGCCATGTTCTACCTTTATGCCTATATTCATACAGATTTATGTATATGTGCGCATTCCTACGTATCATTGTGTTACTGCGTTACCCATCAGAACGTACTTGTATTTATGAAACAACATTATCCCAATGTACGCATGGTTTTCCCTCAACGCTGATTGGTTAGCATTTTGATTTGTACTTGGTCTTTGGCGGTCATTCGTGAATTAGATCCCCAGTGTGGTTTGTCAAACCACATTGTATGTTGGGGGAAGTCCATGTTTTCTTGGCCAAAATCGATTCTTGAGCTGGTCAAAATCTGCATGTGTGTTGGTCAAAATCATTAGCTCGCAATCTCCTTTGTTTCGTTGGTCAAAATCCATATGTTTGCCGGCTAACACCTTATCTGTGTTCCATTTTTAGTGGATGAAATCACAGTGTTAGTCAAATATGATGCTCATTGTTTGTTAATGAACGTGTTTTTTGATTGAATACGGTTTATTATTGATGAACATTGATGAACACATCACTTACAATATTTCACGATTGTTGATCTCATGCAGATCCCCATCGTTTTTCATGGTTGAATCACACTTAATCTCCATATTCGTCAACTAAATCACCGGGTTTCACCATGTTTGTTGGTTAACTCATTTTATTAAAGAACGAAAACATTTTTGGTGTTTCAATCACCATGTTTGATTGGTAAAGTCCCATCTTTGTTGGTTAAATCGGTTAAATCACCACTTTTGCGGGTGAAATCCCATGTTTTTTCCCATGTTTCATGGTTCCCTGACCTTTTTTAGGTCATCGCTGGGGACAGCTGGGGGCTCATTGCTGTGCCGGTGATCCAAGCGTACCCGGCCACAGCCTTTATCTTTGCGCCCCGGTGGCGGTGGGAGAAAGAAGAAACAACATATCTGGTTGGTCGTTTGGAACATTTTTTATTTTTCCATATATTGGGAATAATAATCCCAACTGACTTTCATATTTTTCAGAGGGGTTGAAACCACCAACCAGATATGTGTTTTAGCGGAGTTAGCCACGAAAGATCGTGATTTTACGGTGATTTTTATGGGATCTGATGCAATTTAGCCATGAAAGGGGGGGGTGATGTTGTTGTGAACAGGATTTAGCAATGAACTGAGTTGGTTTTTAATGGTGATTTTTACGGGATTTCATTGGATTTCGCCGGATGTACCCGTAGTTAGTTTATGGATTTTCATGGACTTTGCCAAGAACAGATAGCAGGGGTGTTTGATTGGGATTTGAATGGTGAGTTTATGGGATACGCATCGGACAAATAACCAACTTGATATGATATTCCTTGATATTGGATACTTGGTGGTTTCCTAAAGGCCGGGACTCCAAAATCATCCAAAATTAACCATGTTTAATTTGGGTAAGGGGAAATCAATGTTGAGGGGTCTCCTCACTTTACGCAATGGGGATTTCATCAGTTTCGGGGCTTTCGGAGGTGCTGGGAACTGGTCAGGATGGCCATCCAAGTAGCTGTGCCAAGTAGGTGTATTTTTTCTGAAAACTGGAAGGGTCACCGATGTCTAGTACTCAGAATTCCCCCTAGTATTGATTACCCCCCTTAGATCTATTCATTTTGGGGTGCAATATTAAGGTATTATTCAATATGAAGGGATCGTTTTTGTTGGGTTTATCAAATTACGCATGTCATGCGCATCACTTGTCCCAACCACCAAGCCAGTAGTTAACTATTTACATGTGTGGGTGTCCAGCTTAAAACAATCAACAAACCAGCGAGATTGAGGATTTAGTTTAGAAAACGATATGTTTTTTCTGAGACAAATTGTTTTTTGTTTACACCATGTCAATTGGATTTACATAATTAATTTAATTTCAACCTGGAATCCCAAGAGACATACCACGAGATAGCTCAAAAAAATCTGCTGCTCAGATTGGGTCTCAAGTCACCCTGGCAACTTGGGTCGAAAGATTCCGGGCGGCGGTGTTGGGACCCTTTGCGGCGCCAGGGTCAACATTTCCCACAGGGGTTATCAATCCATCGACAAGTTAATGTACCCATATGGATTCCCATTCTGGGATGGATGACATAACCACATACGGGAGGATTGCCATACTAAGATGAATAGGGGTTAATACAGCCATAAAAAAAGAAACAACTTTAAATCCCTCATCATATGGCGGGCTGACCAAACATATCGGTTTGTCCAGAAATGGAATACCCTCATTCATGTACATGAAATAATTGTGAAAAGATCTTGGTGCCCTAACATCTAGGCCCTAGAAGCTATTTTCAAACACATCCATAAGAAATTCTTTGTAGAAACATTTTCATATAATCTATGGACATTTTCTGGTTGGTGGTATGGGATAATCCTTTCAAGATGGTTAAAACCACCAACCAGTTTTTCTGGACCAATAAGTTATTTCATGTCCATAAATGACATTAAATATATCGCCCTGTTGTGCAAACTCGGTTGCTCGCTTGACTCGGTTCGTGGTCCCACTTAATCCATGTGTACGTGTTATTCATGCGAGGGAAATGAACGTTTTCCGGGGAAAAATATGGAAACATTGAACATTCTAATCGACCATATTTAGTTCATCACGGCCAACACGCAACAATTTGACATTTACCACATGGTGTTTCCACATTTCGGGCAACTCTAGCATTTGTTCTCCACAGTATCGGCGTGCATATTCCATGTATTTCCCATGTTGGTGGATATCCCCACATTCGTTGATCTACTTGGTTACCTTTTCTATGATATGGTTGAAGATGAACTAATCCCTTCCCCCTAATATTAAACACCCCCGAAACGAAACCATGGTGATGTAGGGAATTTCCTCATAATTGGGACCATAGAAATGGGGTGTTTTCAATCCATACCACAAAAAAAACCGGAGGCCGCTACATGTCGCTACTGGTCTTACCATATATTACAGTATACTTTTTGTTTGGGGGTGCATCCCATCCCATAGCCTATACACAATTTGGTCATTTGACGCTTATGAAATGTTATGAATCACTTCCGATTCCTGTGATGCACATCCAAGTTCCCAGCATATTCCCATGATATCATATATATATATATATCATTTTTGTCGATCAAATTATATTAAATCCACAAAGATCCCCATTTTGGATTAGTTAAATGCCATTTTGCAGGGGATGGCGTGGCGTCGCGCCACGGATCCCCTCTTTAGGTCTTTGGCGTGCTGAATCTCATTGTGGCAGTTGCTTGGAGGGGGACAGTAGGGCTGTCAGATGCAGAGATGATGGGAAAACAAAAACATGCAACTAATGGAGAAAGAGTGGAGTAATGTATAATAATGGGGATATTAATCATGATTTATGAAATTAATGAGAGAGACTCAATTAATGGATACTAAGCACTAAGATAAATATTGATTAATAGTAATGGTAGTACAAAATGATGATCAGCCAGAGTGAGTTCATCAAGCATTTAAAGGGTTATGTTTTTTTTCATAAATATACAGATTAACCCGCTATCCAAAGTTAATCAACCACTTATAACATTTCTTGGGATTCTCATGGGGGTAATAACCATTTGGCGGGGAATGTTATGTGGAGAGCTGGGGGGATCACCTTGTTGGGGTCAAACCCCACGATGAGTCAAGCATCAGATTCAGGATTTGAAGCATGTATATATATATATATATATCTTACATGGTTTTTATATACTGTATTTGAATTTACATATACATGATAAATGCAGATTTTAGGTGCGTGACATAAGTATCCAGTAATTCTGGCTGCAGTCATTGAGGTTTTGGCCCGTTTTGGATGTTAAGCCATCCCACCTTGGGGTACTGAAATTGGTTCGAGCTTGGTGTGGAAAATGATCATGGACAACGGCCCCACTTTGAGGTTAGTGAACTTAGTGAACTAGATTACTACAAGTACACTTATATAATCTTGTATACATTAATATGATGAATTTCATGTAAAGATTCTTCAGATTTGGGATGTATAAGTCTGGATTGCCTGGATAGACATTTGTTTTTTGACACAGTTCTCCTCATATAATATATATAATATATGATATATATATAATATATTTTATATATAATATAATATATATAATATATTTAATATATAATATATATATAATATATATAATATATATAATATATATATATATATTATATACACAGTATAAACGTATACGTATATCGATGGGTTCCTGCCTAGGAGTTGACTGGGAGATTTGGGGATTATAGAACTGCAGTTGTTTAAGTAGGAGACTTCCATCATGCGAACATGACCGATAACGATCAGATATGAGGATTTGTAGAAGCTATAGCATGCCCATGGGAACCAATATGGAATTTGGCATGTACGGTTTTTACACCATTCAGTGACACAGGTGATTTGCCTGCTGTACACAATTGCCAATTGTTCAAAAATATGTTCATTCTGATTCAGTTTCTACCTTTTTTTGCGCGTGGCCAGATTCATTTAAGTTTCTATATGAAAATATCGCACCCAACAATTCGATACTTAGTAATTAGTTCATCATAGTTTTTACGTTTAATCTTTTGGTTGGCTGGGGGTATGCCCTATGATTTAATCCCATGGCAGTTGTTGGGAGCCATGGGTGCGGCGCCGTTGCTGAGGTTGTTGTTGACACATTTGCAGAGGCGTGGCGTGGATGTCTGATCAACGATCTGTTCTTTTTTTCAATTTGTGCAATGTCTAACTGCTTCTGACTCCGATGATCTATTGCGAAAGCAATAATTCTAGGTGATTTCTTAGTGTAGTTGCTCGTTTGCTGTCTTATCTGAACCGTATCGTTTCATATTTTTCCAGTATGTTCCATTCGTTTCACCTCCATGCTTCGTGAATTCCTGTTGCCGCTTGTCAGAGCAAACGACTTTCCTGAACTGTACGAACTGCACTGAAATTTGTTCCGAAGCTAAACAAGGAAACACAATATACCAACCACGTTCATCATAGTTTATGGATAATTTATAGTTCCTTATCATGAGAATATTTCATGGGCCATTTCAGGAACTTAAGTTGGAGGTACCATATATAAGGCCCAAATTTCAGGACAAAATTTCAGGGAATATCCCCAGAATATATGGTGTTTCTTGCGTGTTTCCAAGACAACGGGCATTCATCAGAGGCGCGGCAACGGGACATCTTGAATCTGGCGGAGGAATTGGAATACGATTTCGAGACTTGTCTGAGGGGAATTGACGCTGTCGCCTCTGGCGTTGTGTGGGACTTGGCAGTTAGAAATCCCAATTTATGTTCAAAGGGAAAGATAGGAAAGACATGGAAAAAGCATGCATATGATTGCTGGTTTGGCACTTCGAATCCCAATTTTCATGGGAAACACGCGGGAAATTAAATATTACTGGCTAAAACAAAAAACATGGGGATTGGGTCAAGTGATTGGAGACGTTTGGGACATGGATGCGTTCCACGAATGAGTCATGAAATCGGCGGCAGTCAAAGGAGACGATTATGGATATAACTTCTAGCGCTGAACAGGTGACTTTCCCGCAGAAGATGTACATACTGACATGTCCAAGATGTGCATGTGAAAAAGGATTGAGGTGATGGATAATCGGATGCTTCTATACTCCAAGGGTTCAAAGGGAAGAACTTCATGTGGGAAACCCTTGCACTACAGAGGCACTGGTGTGAAACCCTGCTGAGACACACCATGATGGCAACATGGTCCTCTAGTCATGTGGCACCTTGAAACTCAATGTTTGGTCTATCTTTCACATATATGTTCCAAATGATTACGGTTAGGCAATGACGGTATTGTTCAAGACCGCTTCATCACACAGTCTGATACAGTCTGATCAGTACTCACATGCCATAGACATAGTATGAGTTTGTAATTATGCTTAAGTAATCATGTATTAATATGTGTTAATATGTGTAAATACGCATTTTATATAATGTATATATATAATGTACACATATATATATTATAATTAATATTAAATATAATTAATTTATATATATATATATGCATTACAGCGTAGATTACCCATGATTCCAAGCACGATTCGTTTATCTTTGTTGTTCCAAGGAAAAGGACCGGAAGTTTTTGCAGAAAGTCTTTGACCGAAAAAGGGACACGTTGCTTGATGTCGCTCGTCGTTCCAGGCGCATTGCTTGTTTGCCTGTGAGTGCTCGCCTCAAAGGTCGCTTGGCAGCCACCGTGTTGGGGCCCAAAGCAGTGTGGGGCCATGTGATCAACGGTCGCTGCCCGACCCAGAAGGATATTGCCTGCTTCTTCCGCCACTACAAGGCGGCGACAAGTGACAACCGGTTTGTCAAAGGGCGCTCGTCCATGGACCTCAAGCGGGCTTTCTTCTTTGGTCACACTTGCGACCTGGCCTTCTATGGGGCCCTCCGCACCATCAGTTCGGGTTTTGCCTGGGCACGTCACTGTGCCAGCTTGGGCGAGAACTGTCGCTGGAGCCAGTCTACGGTGTTTTGCCTCAATAGCATCCTGCAAGACTTGGGTTGGTGTGCTCATAGCAATGCTGTCGGCCAGAGCGGGGATGTCCCTTGCATTCATTTTGGGGCAGTGAAGGCTGAAGTTGACAAATGCCTCCATCACATTCGAGACGCGTGGCGTTTGAAAAAAGTGCGTCAGTGGTTGTCGCACCGCACCAGGATTGATAGTGGGATAGGTCGTGATACCAATCTTATCATTTCCGAGCCTCTGATTAAAACTGTCAGATCTATTCTCAGAGATTGTGATGCTCATGTTGTCTCTGTTGCCTGTGGAGGGTTCCAAACTGTCTCACTTGATTTTGAGAGACTGCATCAAGGGGTCGCTCCTGTTCAGCAGTGTCCGTATTGTTTGCAGCTTGATGTTCCTGGCGTCATTCATGTCTTGTGGAGCTGTCAGGCTTTTTCTCATCTTCTTGGTTGCAGCTCCCATGTCACTAAGGATCTCTTGGTGCAGATGGGCACATCCGGGCAGCTGAAGCTGCTCGTCGTTTGGCACCTGCGGGTGCTGGCTGAGGCTGAAGCGTGGCTTCCTTGGGCTGCTATGCACTGTGTTCTGCTGCTTGCGGCGGGGCATGGGCAGCATGCGGCGCGCGACTACACAAGTCTATAGTCCAGTGCCCAGCTTTGCTTCAAGGTGATCCTTTTGCTCCTCTTGGCATGGCCGTCATCTTGGCACCTGTGCTTCGCCAACTGCAAGCTCTTCACCCAGACATCTTCACGGTCACGTACATTGACGACAGGACTTGTTTGTGCCCGACTGTTGCTGATCTTGATGTGGTCAACAACGTTTGGTCTACCATGGAGTCCTTTTTGCGGCTCCGCACGAATGAGGAGAAGAGTCAAATCTGGGCTCGCTCTCCTGAGGCTTTGGCAAAGCTGGATAACACCCACTATAGCTCCAATGCCAGCTTCACCATGCAGGTCCTTGGGGCTACGCTTGGTCCAGAGGAACGTGCTCTCTCAGACCGTGAAAGGGACACGTTGCTTGATGTCGCTCGTCGTTCCAGGCGCATTGCTTGTTTGCCTGTGAGTGCTCGCCTCAAAGGTCGCTTGGCAGCCACCGTGTTGGGGCCCAAAGCAGTGTGGGGCCATGTGATAAACGGTCGCTGCCCGACCCAGAAGGATATTGCCTGCTTCTTCCGCCACTACAAGGCGGCGACAAGTGACAACCGGTTTGTCAAAGGGCGCTCGTCCATGGACCTCAAGCGGGCTTTCTTCTTTGGTCACACTTGCGACCTGGCCTTCTATGGGGCCCTCCGCACCATCAGTTCGGGTTTTGCCTGGGCACGTCACTGTGCCAGCTTGGGCGAGAACTGTCGCTGGAGCCAGTCTACGGTGTTTTGCCTCAATAGCATCCTGCAAGACTTGGGTTGGTGTGCTCATAGCAATGCTGTCGGCCAGAGCGGGGATGTCCCTTGCATTCATTTTGGGGCAGTGAAGGCTGAAGTTGACAAATGCCTCCATCACATTCGAGACGCTTGGCGTTTGAAAAAAGTGCGTCAGTGGTTGTCGCACCGCACCAGGATTGATAGTGGGATAGGTCGTGATACCAATCTTATCATTTCCGAGCCTCTGATTAAAACTGTCAGATCTATTCTCAGAGATTGTGATGCTCATGTTGTCTCTGTTGCCTGTGGAGGTTTCCAAACTGTCTCACTTGATTTTGAGAGACTGCATCAAGGGGTCGCTCCTGTTCAGCAGTGTCCGTATTGTTTGCAGCTTGATGTTCCTGGCGTCATTCATGTCTTGTGGAGCTGTCAGGCTTTTTCTCATTTGAGGTTGCTTCCGCAGCCTGAGTGCCCTCTCGCCTCCAGGATTGGTTGGAGCAGCTCCCATCAAGTCACTAAGGATCTCTTGGTGCAGATGGGCACAATCCGGGCAGCTGAAGCTGCTCGTCGTTTGGCACCTGCGGGTGCTGGCTGAGGCTGAAGCGTGGCTTCCTTGGGCTGCTATGCACTGTGTTCTGCTGCTTGCGGCGGGGCATGGGCAGCATGCGGCGCGCGACTACACAAGTCTTTGACCGAATGGACGCAGATGGTTCTGGCCTTGTCACCTTTGAGGACTACAGTAGACGCCTAACTACCAATCCGTACATGTGACATGTCTGTACTATATTAAATTATATATACATACATATATATATATATATATATATGTATATACATAAATATGTATGTATATATATATATATAATGTCGTTGTAAACAAATTTCCGGTCGATTGCCAGTTACGTTTTGCGCGCAGCCGATTGCTTTTTGGATGTTCCACGGTGCAGTGCGCCAGCTTGACGCGGTGATATGATACATGATAGGTCATAATAGATGCACTTTTTACACATGTGCTCCCACAAGTGTTTCAATTGCTGTGACTTGGTGGGGGCAAAGCCAAGAAAAGACACAACCCAAGAAGCTGTGCTGAAGGAACTTCCCCCCTGGACTTGTACAAGTCTTTGGCAAGAAGAACTTTTACCCTGGATTTTAACAAATTTCAGCTGGAGGTAACATTCTGCAAATTCAAGGATGGCCGGTAAATGTAAGTATATGAAATACAATTGTAAGACACTATAACATATTATACTAAGTATTAACTTATAATCATATGTATATATATATATGTGCATATGCACACGTAAAATCATGTAAATAAATGTGCAAATGTACCTTAATATGCATGGCACGATCAGCAATACATGGCAGCACACGCGATGTTATTCCAACAGTTGGGAGAACATCGTTGCAGAAATTCGGCCAAATCAAAGGTTTCTATTTTCATGGGTTGGTTGTAGACCAAGTTGGTGGCCAAGAGACCACCAATCTGAGTTGTTCAACACAAACATGACATTTAAATGACTATGTTTGGTGTTTCTGTCCGAAATTGAAAGAATCCTCCTCGCATATGCGATTGCTCATTTTACAGTAACACATTTCAGCCGCAGGAGCTGGTGGAAGGGGCGCGACGCGACCCGGAGTTTCAGTCCCGCTTGCGGGTGATGGACATAGATGAGGCAGATTTGCAGCAGTGACTTGGTCCAGGGCACCTGGGATGACGTGGAGGAAAAAGATGGGAACTGGGGTGTAACGGTGTATATCCCCAGGACCTTGCTACTGAACCAGGTATTGCTACTGAACCAGGTATTGACTTCGGGGACCATGCCAAAAGTGACCAAGTTGAAGTCTTAGTGATTTGTGTTCCTGTTTTGTTTGTTGGCGAGATAGAAGATGATGCAATAATGTGAACCGTGTTTTTTAATACGCAATCCCATCTCAAGACAATGTTCCCAGTGAAATTAATTAGGTCAACGGTAATCAACGGTGTCATCGTGAGAATTCAGGAACTTTCAGATTTGATCAATGGTCCATTCAGTTGCCTAAACTTGAGGTACTAAGGTTAGGTCGGTTTGGTTACTAATTAGCCATATTCTTGGGATGAATATTCAGAGTTTGCATAGGCATTACGTATGGTACGTAGCTGAAATTTAGGTACCTTCTGGCAATCAAACATGGCAATGGAAATCAATGGAAAATCCCTGATGATCTTAGCATTAAATCATCCATTTATAGCGAATTTGGCTCGGTGGCAATGAGTCTGAATAATGTTGTGGACCATAGCCAGTGCTACATGTCTTGTTGTTGTTTCGTGTCGTCATTGACTGTGTTGGTTAAAAACTATGCATGTGTGAGTTGGGCAGTGCCTAAAGTTCATGTTGGTTGAAACATAACTTGGGTTGATTATTGAATATCTGGTTTTGTTGAAAATGTTTCTGCCAAATAGTGGATTCCCCATCTGGGGAATCTAATGGTAAAGAAATTATAAAAAAGAGTTGAAAATGTTTCTGCCAAATAGTGGATTCCCCATCTGGGGAATCTAATGGTAAAGAAATTATAAAAAAGAGGCCCCCATGAAGCAAATCCGCGCATGTCACTATCAGGGTTGGTCAGGCACACCGTAGGTGTCCAATTAAACCAGGCAACATTGCGGGAAAGACAGGCAAAGAGTGCACCCCAGAAGGCATGAAAGAGAACATATACAATGTACAGGAAACTGGAAAAAGAAAACACACACATATCATATTTATTCTATTGTATTTTGAGAAACCCACTGTCCTTTAAAACAGTTCGTGTAGATCAGCCCCACTGAAAGTCATCATTGCTGGTTTTGATTTCTCAGGCTCTTCGAGATGATTGACATTCACGAGCAAGGCCGATGTGACTTGAGGTGGTTAAAGATGCCAAACACGGGAGTTGTGTCAAGCCTATTGTGTATGTATGTATCATAAAAAAGGGCTGAACAACTATCATAACTATATGATATTATATGTAGTTACATTTCAATATCTTCTTTTGATTTGACATATTATGAAGTATAGGCATATATAACCAATGAACCAGCAAACGCACAGGTACATATATATATATATATATAATATCATGATATATATATACATAATTACTCATAATTTACATATTTAAGGTACACACAGCCAAAATCAACCAGTATATTCAGTAGCAAATGTGATTCGGACCCACAGCAGGGTTCCCCAGTTCTTGACCATCATGGCATACACATCCATTTGGAGGAACCTGGATATCAGATAGAGATATTTCCTGAACCTGAATCACTCAGTCTGATATAGTTGTGGCAAGTATTAGTTGCACATAAACCACTATTTAATCGAATATCAAACATACATAAACATACAAATTGATCCCCCACAAGACCCTCAGGCACACCTATGCAATTTCTTTGGTTTGTTAGACGAAGTCACCAAGCATGTCTGCATTGGGTCCATCCATAGACACCTATTTCGGCTTTGTCTTCATATGAAACCAAAAGAAACTAGACGACGGTTGGCCCGAGAGCGAAAAACACGTCCTTCAAGCAGCTCTGAGTATGGTAGTCGTAAAAAATAGTCGGTGAATGGTTGGTGAATTTGATATGAGCTATGGAGGGGAAAGTTGTGAAATTACACACAGACGCTTTTACACACAAACACTTTCACAGAGGCGTTTACACACAGAGACTTTTACACACAGACGCTTTTACACACAGACACTTTTACACGCAGACGCTCTTACACAGAAGCTTTTACACACAGACTCCTTTACACACAGACGCTTTCTCAGACGCGTTTACACACAGAGACTTTTACACACAGACGCTTTTACACACAGAAGCTTTTACACGCAGATGCTTTTACACACAGAAGCTTTTACACACAGACACTTTTACACACAAACGCTTTTACACACAGACCCTTTTACACACAGACCCTTTTACACACAGACGCTTTTACACACAGACGCTTTTACACGCAGATGCTTTTACACACACACACACACTTTCATACACAGAGGCTTTTACACACAGAAGCTTTTGAAGAGTGTCTCTATATGACATTTTATGGTCCTGAACTCAAACTGTTCTGTTTTTGACATCAAGCACATGATGGCATCGAGCTCTGTTGCAAACGTTTGCAGACATTTCACTAGTGAAGTATTGTCACATGTGTCATTTACAGCATCATGGTACCGATCTTTTTTGGGCCAATTATGTGGGATTTTCCATAATAAAATGAAATAACATGTGTCATACGCAGCATCATGGTACCGAGCTTTTTTGGGCCATTTATGTGGGATTTTCCATACTAAAATGAAATGACATGTGTCATACACGGCATCATGGTACCGAGCTTTTTTGATAGTTTCTGTGGGATATTCCCAGAATAAAATGAGATAACGCGTGTCATTTACTGCATTATGGTATTGGACCTTTTTTGTGCAAACGTTTGCAGACATTTCACTAGTGAAGTCTTGTCACATGTGTGATTTACAGCATCATGGTACCGATCTTTTTGGGCCATTTATGTGGGATTTTCCATAATAAAATGAAATAACATGTGTCATGCACGGCATCATGGTACCGAGCTTTTTTGGGCCATTTATGTGGGATTTTCCATAATAAAATGAAATAACCTGTGTCATACACAGAGGCTTTTACACACAAACGCTTTTACACGCAGATGCTTTTACACACACACACACTTTCACACACAAACGCTTTTACACACAGACGCTTTTACACACAGAGGCTTTTACACACAGACGCTTTTACACACAGACGCTTTTACACACAGACACTTTTACACACAGACACTTTTACCCACAGAAGCTTTTACACACAAACACACACACACACGCTTTTATTTTACACACACACACACTTTCACACACAGAGGCTTTTACACACAGACGCTTAAACAGAGACTTTTACACACAGAAGCTTTTACACCCACACACACACACATACACACACACACGCTTTTCTTGTACACACACACACTTTCACACACAGAGGCTTTTACACACAGACGCTTACACAGAGACTTTTACACACAGACGCTTTTACACACAAACGCTTTTACACAAAGACGCTTTTACACACAGAAGCTTTTACACACAGACTCCTTTACAAACAGACGCTTTTACACAGAAGCTTTTACACACAGACACTTTTACACACAGACGCTCTTACACAGAAGCTTTTACACACAGACTCCTTTACACACAGACGCTTTTACACACAAACGCTTTTACACACAGAAGCTTTTACACACAGGCGCTTTTACACACAGACTCCTTTACACACAGACGCTTTTACACACAGAAGCTTTTACACACAGACGCTTTTACACACAGACGCTCTTACACACAAACACTTTCACACACAGAGGCTTTTACACACAGAAGCTCTTACACACAGAGGCTTTTACACACAGAAGCTTTTACACACAGGCGCTTTTACACACAGACGCTTTTACACACAGACGCTTTTACACACAGACGATTTTACACACAGACGCTTTTACTCACAGACGCTTTTACACACAGACCCTTTTACACACAGACACTTTTACACACAGACACTTTTACACAAAGAAGCCGTTACACACAGAAGCTTTTACACACAGACGCTCTTACACAGAAGCTTTTACACACAGACTCCTTTACACACAGACGCTTTTACACACAAACGCTTTTACACGCAGATGCTTTTACACACACACACTTTCACACACAAACGCTTTTACACACAGACGCTTTTACACACAGAGGCTTTTGCACACAGACGCTTTTACACACAGACGCTTTTACTCACAGACGCTTTTACACACAGACCCTTTTACACACAGAAGCTTTTACACGCAGACGCTTTTTGCACACAGACGCTTTTACACACACACACACTTACACACACACACACTTTCACACACAGAGGCTACTACACAGAGGCTTTTACACACAGACGCTTTTACACACAGACGCTTTTGCACACAAACACTTTCACACAGACACTTTTACACAAACGCTTTTACACACAGACGCTTTTACACACAGACCCTTTTACACACAGACACTTTTACACACAGACACTTTTACACAAAGAAGCTGTTACACACAGAAGCTTTTACACACAGACGCTCTTACACAGAAGCTTTTACACACAGACTCCTTTACACACAGACGCTTTTACACACAGAAGCTTTTACACACAGACACTTTTACACACAGACGCTCTTACACACAGAAGCTTTAACATAGAGACTTTTACACACAGACACTTTCACCAACAGAAGCTTTTACACACACACGCACACACACACACACACACGCTTTTCTTTTACACACACGCTTTTCTTTTACACACACACAGAGGCTTTTACACACAGATGCTTGCACAGGGACTTTTACACACAGACGCTTTTACACACAAACACTTTCACACACAGAGGCTTTTACACACAGAAGCCTTTACAAAGAGACTCCTTTACACACAAACGCTTTTACACACAGACGCTTTTACACACAGACACTTTTACACACAGACTCCTTTACACAGAGAGGCTTTTACACACGGAAACTTTTACACACAGACACTTTTACACACAGACGCTTTTACACACAAACGCTTTTACACGCAGATGCTTTTACACACACACACACTTTCACACACAAACGCTTTTACACACAGACGCTTTTACACACAGAGGCTTTTACACACAGACGCTTTTACACACAGACGATTTTACACACAGACGCTTTTACACACAGAAGCTTTTACACACAGACTCCTTTACAAACAGACGCTTTTACACACAGAAGCTTTTACACACAGACACGCTTTTACACACAAACACACAGACTTTTACACACAACCGAAGCTTTTACACACGGCACTTTTACACACAGACACTTTTACACACAGACGCTTTTACACACAGACGCTTTTACACACAGACCCTTTTTCACACAAACACTTTCACACACAGAAGCGTTTACTTTTACACACAGACACTTTTACACACAGAAGCTTTTACACAGAGGCTTTTACACACAGAGGCTTTTACACACAGACGGTTTTACACACAGACGGTTTTACACACAGACGCTTTTACACACAGACACTTTGAAACACAGACGCTTTTACACACAGACGCTTTTACACACAAAGGCTTTTACACACAGACGCTTTTACACACAGACACTTTTACACACAGACACTTTTACACACAGAGGCTTTTACACACAGAGGCTTTTACACAGACGAAAGCGTTACGATTTCCTTACGAGATTTTGACGTCCAACGTCCATTTCGTGCGTAAGGGTTGCGATTGACAACTCAAAGTCGCAATTTTTCCTCAGTTTTTGACGTCCAACGTCCATTTCGTGCGAAAGGGTTGCGATTGACAACTCAAAGTCGCAATTTTTCCTCAGTTTTTGACGTCCAACGTCCATTTCGTGCGAAAGGGTTGCGATTGACCAACTCAAAGTCGCAATTTTTCCTCAGTTTTTGACGTCCAACGTCCATTTCGTGCGAAAGGGTTGCGCGCGACCAATAAAAGTTGCAATTTTTCCTCAGTTTTTGACGTCCAACGTCCATTTCGTGCGAAAGGGTTGCGCGCGACCAATAAAAATTGCAATTTTTCCTCAGTTTTTGACGTCCAACGTCCATTTCGTGCGAAAGGGTTGCCGGGGACGCTTCAAAATCGCAATTTTACCTAGGTCTTGGACGTCCAACGTCCATTTCGTGCGAAAGGGTTGCGTTTCGTGGCGCTCCGGCGGCACCGCCCCCGCCTTAAGAGAGAATAGAAGAAGAGCGAGAAGAGATCTGCAGATGTGAAGGTGTGAAGATCTAGATCTGCAGGTGTGAGGGTGTGAAGATCTAGATCTGCAGGTGTGAAGGTGTGAAGATGTAGATCTGCAGATGTGAGGTGTGAAGATCTGCAGATGTGAGGGTGTGAAGATCTAGATCTGCAGGTGTGAAGGTGTGAAGATCTAGATCTGCAGGTGTGAAGGTGTGAAGATCTAGATCTGCAGGTGTGAAGGTGTGAAGTCTAGATCTGCAGGTGTGAAGGTGTGAAGTCTAGATCTGCAGGTGTGAAGGTGTGAAGATCTAGATCTGCAGGTGTGAAGGTGTGAAGATCTAGTATATCTAGATCTGCAGGTGTGAAGGTGTGAAGATCTAGATCTGCAGATGTGAGGGTGTGAAGATCTAGATCTGCAGGTGTGAAGGTGTGAAGATCTAGATCTGCAGGTGTGAAGGTGTGAAGTCTAGATCTGCAGGTGTGAAGGTGTGAAGTCTAGATCTGCAGGTGTGAAGGTGTGAAGATCTAGATCTGAAGGTGTGCAGGTGTGAAGATCTAGTATAACGGCTGCTTTTTTACGAAGAACCCTTCGCAGGCGCTCTCGGGAAAAACACATGATCATCTGATCAACCATCAAATTTCAAGTTAATCGCAAAATTTTGAGACTGAACCATTTCTGACAAATGGCAGAACTCTTTTTTGTCTCGAGCTGCCAACTGTCGGATGGTCCCCGGAGCCGTGAGACATTGACCGCAGCATTCGCCTCGGCAGAACACTGACATAAAACGATACCCACAGAACATGAGGTATATGAACAGTTTACAAAACTGTGGTAAGGGACTGTCATTGACGCTGAATGAGTGTGAGATAGTGTGGATGTAAGTGTCCGAGTTTGCTGAATTGATGTTTCTGTACCGTGACTCATATGATTTATATTACAAATTCATACAAATTCTCAGTCATAGTATATGATGTAGTGATGAAGTGAATGAGATACTGATTGTACTGTTTAAGTCAAGTCCCCTTATTTTGTTTGTGTCAGTCGGTTATGTATCCATCTTCTAGTGATTGAATTAAATAAACAAATTTCGTACATGTCACTTCGTCAAGCACCAAGATTTTGTATGTTTGCCATCCACTTTGGTTAAATCCCTCTATAGTTGCTAATTTTTCCAGAGAATTTGGCACATTTTGGCAGCAAAATTCATCCAATATCCATAGATTTCCCATGTTTCTTGGTCGAGGCTACATCAATGCCACGGAGTTCATCGCACCTTTGAGCCGTTGGGTCCACGACTCCAAGACGGCCCCCCGTGGCGCGGCATTTTAAAGGGATGGACAGGGACGGATGGTGGTTTTCTCTCTGATGTAATTTACATAACTGATAGTTGATTTGTTGAATAAAGTTTCATGGAATCTGAAACTGGGGTTCAACATGGTTTAACCATGTTTAACCATGTTTAACCATCAACTGTAATGGTTTGATGGTATTTTGTTTCCATATCAAAATCATGGGGATGTCATTTGTATAACTAACTGATAGCTGATTGGTTGATTGGTTTTGAAAGGGGGGTTATCCTACCCAGTTTATTTTGGATTATGAGTGTGATAACCCATCATAGGGATGCCTGTTAAACAACCAGTATGACGGGATGGGATAGGCATATTGTTAACATTCTTGGTTATTTAAGCATTGGTTGAAAACAAAAGGACAAAAATGTCACTTATCCTACCCTTATTTTATGGCCATTGAATAGGAGGCATGATGATCAACCATCAATATTTATCAAAATTTTCCAACTCTATTCCAGACAAACTCACTTGCTTTGATAAAGGCTTTCTAGTAGCAAAAATGGGAGTTTCAACCACCGAGAAATACGTCACCCAGGTGAGCTGAAACCGAGAACGACCTCACCATAACATCAGTGTACCGAGGGGATATTGGATTGGCTTCCAGCCCGGGGATAGCCATCCCATAGCCATCCCGGAGAAAGCCACTGGATTGGTGCGAAATGTTGTTTTTCATCTGCCGCAATGATATTTTGCCATATATTGCCCATGATTTTTTGGATATGCAATATATGCAATGTTTCCCTTTCCTCGAAAAATGGATGGTTAAATATACCGAATGACAACTTGTGTGAGTCGGTGGATCATGGGGCTGCCGAAGTCTACTCGAATGTCCGAGGTTTCATCAAGTACAACTTACAGCAACTCGGCGGAGGGACGATGTCACCAACAAATCGGTGATATTCACCAGCGAGAATGGGGAGTAATGCTTACAGGGCGAGCACATTGATGGTTTACCAGCAAAAATTGAGGAGATATGAGGAGATAATGGAGATGTCCATCAAAAAGTGATGTTTAGTAGCTTTACTGAAGCGTGGACTTGGACCAATCAGGATCCATACCACGTTGGTGGCAAATGAGCTGGTGAGCCGATGGAATTTTCTGGAATTGTGAAACCACATTTGAATGCAGAACCCCTTGTGAGGCATGAAGCTGAATATATACAAACATATTACAAAGATATGTCGCGTAACATATATATATAATATACATTAAATATAATATATATATATATATACATATATATATAATATGTGTATACACATGTATGTACATAATATACACATGTATGTACATAATATATACATGCACATATAATTACATACAATTACATACATATGTGATCATGTGTGTGTATATTCATAGTTATATGATATGTATATATATATATATATAGTTATATACATATGTATATATAAATATTTACATATGTATACACGTAGACATATATACTATACACACAATTATATACGTATATATATATATTGTGATGCATATGTTTTGACTATAGGTAGATAGATGGGTAGATAGATAGCAGATAGGTGGATGGATGGATAGACGGATATATTGGATAAATGGTTAGACGGATACACGGATAGATGAAAGGGTGAATAAACGAATAAACAGGTAGATAGATAGAACGACAGATAGAACGATAGATAGATAGATTTATGGATGGATGCATGGAACGTTGGATAGATAATGGGTCGTGTAGATGGAAAGATTCAGACATGAATAGATGGATAGAGGGATAGACGACAGATGGATAGATGGATACATTGATCTTTAATTATGTAAATAGGTGGATAGATAGATCGATAGGTAGACAGATAGATACAGTAGATTGAGTGATAGATACATAGGTGAGTAGATAGATATGTAATGACAGGTATTGTGTTATTGTGTTATGTGTAATGATTATACGTTGCTATTAGATTTATATAGATGGATACATGATCAGATAGATTCATGGTTGGGTTGGTAGATAGGTATTAGTACAGTTAGAAAACCTAACGTGGGGGCGGCAGCAAGGCGAACGATGAATCAGCAGGAAGAACTCTTTGTTTTCTGTCAGGACCTGGGTGTGGCATGACAGCGCAGTTGAATCATTGGGATTTCCCAAAGTTTAGAATCTTTGTTGCCACACATTTTACATCTACCTTCTGGAAATCTTACGCGCCAATAGACAGTCATTTTTAATTTGCCACTATAACTGTGGAGATATTTTTTGATTTGAGATTGGACAAGTTAATGTGTTAAAACAAAAAATCAACAAAACCATTACTATGTATTTGTTGATATGTATGTATGTGTATATATATATAATATGCATGGGTTGGTGCATATATGTGATGGTTGAATATCTCGTTGTTACAAGGTGCATGTGCTCCAAAATTTCCCCTGCTGCATGAAACATACGGCTCATTCTCACGAAAATGGAAGTTCAATGTGGGTACAAATCAAACACAGGGTGCTTACTGGTAGCAACCAACCCACCGAATTGCGCTTTGGGAGATTCAGCCATCTACATTGATATTTTATATTTGGGTTTGTTTGCAAATAGGGCACCCCAAAACTTGATACTTCAGAGAGAAAGGTAAATCTGAGGTAAGTGTAACATGTTCAAATTTATTTTAGACTCATAGTCATGGCTGTCCGACGGCAAGTTGCGAGTCATAATAATGGTTCTCGACCACCTGACGTCTAGATTTGAGTTGACGTCCATATGAAAATGCGCGTTTTACCTATTGTATCCTATTGTTTTGCCATATGTTAGGTTAAACATGATTTTGATGCTGAAATTGCAGTTTTGCTTGTTAAAAAACAACATGTTGGTGGGGTTTTATACGTGGGACTCTACATGTCCAAAATATGTTGATCTTCGTCGCCAGGACTGTTTCAACTCGATTTCAGATCGTATCGAGGAGTTGTCGGACAGGATCGACTCTTGGCATGATCAAATGGTTGGAAAAACCATCCTGGAATTTGAATAGAAAATATAATATCCATATCTATATATAATTATATAATATATATATATATATCTTTGGAATACATATATATATACATATATATATATTTGGAATATCTCATATCCATATGTATATGTATATATATATACATACTTATGCATACTTATGATTGTATAATAGTGCTGAAGTATAGATACATACATCATATCATTATACACTGTATGTGTGTTTTGTTTTTAATCCGCACTAAAGTGGGAATGATATCGACAATTCCACATAAATTATCGAAGGAAGTTTAGAAGTCAAACTTCCGACAATATGGACAGATGAAAAGCAGAGCAGGGCAGAGGCACAGAGAAGAGAAAGATTAGAAGAGAGAAGAGTAGAAGAGAAAGAGTCAGAGGAAAGAAGATGCAGATGCGCGAAAAGGTAGGAAAGTCGCGAAACACTGTGTTTTTCCAATGATTTGTGGCTCCGGAGGGTCGAAAAGTAGCCTCGCTAAAGCGGCGGGTGCGGAGCCAGCTGGCCAGAAGAGAGATGAAAAATTGCACGCCGTTGTGGCGCGAAGCACATTTCCAAGTGAAAAGGTGCAAAACACCTGGGTCTCGGACCACTTTTGGAAGTTGAGATGTCGAAAAAGTGCACGCCGTTGTGGCGCGAAGTGGATTTCCATGTCAAAATGCACAAAACACACCATGGTCGGACCACTTTTGGAAGTTGAGATTGAGATGTCGAAAAAGTGCACGCCGTTGTGGCGCGAAGCACATTTCCAAGTCAAAATGCACAAAACACACCATGGTCGGACCACTTTTGGAAGTTGAGATGTCGAAAAAGTGCACGCCGTTGTGGCGCGAAGCACATTTCGAAGTCAAAAGTGCAAAAGACTGACGGGTACGGAGCACTTTTGGACGTTCAGATGTGCTTTCGCGTGGCAAGCGCAAGGGATTGTGCACCTTGGCAAAAGTGAGCAAAACGTGAGGGTTTTGTAGCATGTCCAAAAACGCTGGCAGGCGTGGGACATTTGAAGAGGATCTTCAAAGGTGCATTTCGCGTGGCAGGCGCAGTACAAAAGACATGTTCATCAGAGATGTTAGGAGGTCAGGGCGCTGATTTCCTGAGAGGGGTTGCATTTTGGAACATCAGATCTTCAGGTTTGCTGAGATGATTTTGCGTGACAGGTGCGGCACGTCGTATGACCTGGCATCAATTTTTCGTGGCAGGCGCAGTACTTTACACAGGTGGACTGGAAAAATCGCAAAACGCATTGGCACGAGGCTCCTAGCGCTGCACTCAACTTTCCATTTACGAAGGAAGTCTCGCAGAATTGCTTTGTTTTTGACGTTGTTAAGTTCAAACATTGAGGAGGTCCACACAATTGCTGCGGTTTTGGACGTTGTTAGGTTGAAAAATAAAAGACGTGTCACAGAATTCGTCTGTTTTTGATGTTGTTAAGTTCAAAAAATGAAGAGTCTCGCAGAAGAGCTTCGTTTTAAATCTGGCAGATAGACAGATAGACAGAGATAGATAGATAGATAGAAAGATAGATAGATAGATAGTTTCATAGACAGATAGATAGATAGATAGATCGATCGATAGAAAGATAGATAGATACATAGACAGATAGATAGACAGATAGATAGAGAGATAAATCGATAGATAGACAGATAGAGAGATAGATAGATAGATAGATAGACAGATAGAGAGATAGATAGATAAATAGATAGATTGATAGATAGATCGATCGTTCGATCGATCGATAGATAGATAGATAGGTACATAGGCAGATAGATAGACAGATAGACAGATAGATAGAGAGACAGTTTTGAGTGATAGAAAGATGGAGAGAGAGAGAGAGAGATAGATAGATAGATAGAAAGATAGATAGATAGACAAATAGCTAGAAAACTAGACAGCTAGATAGACAGATAGAGAGATAGACAGACAGATAAATAGATAGATAGACAGATAGATCAGTAGGTAGGTAAGTAGATAATCAGAGAAAGAAAGAGAAACAGAGAGAAAAAGAGAGAAAGAGAAAAAAGAGAGAGAGAGAGAGATCAAGCACCTTTCAGTCCATCAGTGGCTTCGCTCTGCCATCCCTGAGTCACAACAACCAACCTCTCCTATAGGTTTCCTATTTTTGAAACTTCCGCCACCGCCTTGTGCGGTACTACTGGTAACTACTCCATGAATGATTATATAAGATACAATACAATATGTATATAATTTACAGTGTGTATATATATACACTATATATATGTATATATATATGCAATATATATAATATGTATGTATTACATATATGTATATGCACAATATAAATATATATTTACAATTTATATATATATACAATATATATGTTAATTACATATATATATATATACACATATAATATTTACATATAAATACACAGGGCTATCCAGCAAACCAGGTCAGATTGCCACGCGTATCATTCCAAATCTCGGCAATCCAGAAATCCTATCTCCAGTTTTTGATGCTTTTGAGGCTTTTATACTTTTTTGGGGGATCGTTTTTACTGTTTCTAAAAAAAACCCATGTGTTGGGCTGCTCAGTTCACATCACCATTCTTGGTGGATCACATGGATCCCCAGATCAGCGGCTGCCCCCCAAGGAAGGTGGTGGTAACTTGGAGCAGCTGCAACAGAACTTGGCAGCCGCCGCAGAGAGCCGCTGGGCTGCGATTGGTTGTGGCCGGTTGTGATTTTGTTTGTCCATTCCCATGGGGATAAACCTGTGGCCATTTTAACCATAAATCCATATAAAATTAACAAAGATGGTAAGATAATGATGTGGTTCGTGATAGGTTTTAAACAGCATTCATGGAGGTTCAACCATTTAAGCCAGGGGTATAAAGGGCAACAGTGCCAATGATGATCTGGTTGGTGGTTATATGTTTGTTCAACCTTATTTCTGATGATGATCCCAACCATCATTTGTGATGATTATCCCTCGGGGTTTGAAACCGCCAGCCAGATGACGGTTTAATAGGGCAATGATAGGGATAATGTGGATATAGTGGTGGTATGGTGGGATATAACATGTATGACCACCAATCAAAAATATATATATATTGACATATATTGACTGTATTGACATATATACGTACATATACCGTATGGACAAACCCATACTGGGAATCCCATCCTTCTAGTATTGACAAGCAGGCCTCAAAGCGTGGTTCAGTGATGGTTGCATTTGTTGGATTAAAATCCCATCACATTGAGATAGTGAGCCCCCAACCAACATAGACCCTGCCCCTTGAGTTGGGGTTTGTTGGGGGGATGGTGACGGGGATGCCCAAAAAATTACTTTACTTCGTGTGATCCCCGCCATGACATTTATACATTTTGTTACTGGCAAATCTCCTGGCATTCTATCTGACATATCTTCTGGCATTCTATCTGGCACATCTTCTGGCATTCTATCTGGCATATCTTCTGGCATATTATCTACTCAAATCTTCTGGCATTCTATCTGGCAAACATTCTGGCACTTTATCTGGCATATCTTCTGGCATTCTATCTGACATTTTATCTGGCATTCTATCTGGCATACCTTCTGGCATATCTTCTGTCATTCTATCTGGCATTTTATCTGGCATTCTATCTGGCATACCTTCTGGCATTCTATCTGGCATATCTTCTAACATTCTATCTGGCATACCTTCTGGCATTCTATCTGGCATATCTTCTAGCATTCTATCTGGCATATCTTCTGGCACTCTATCTGGCATATCTTCTGGCATTCTATCTGGTCGTTGAGGCCCAGCGGTGCACACTGAGCTGGGAAGGTCCCAGGTTGAGGTCCAGCAGCGCACACTGAGCTGGGAAGGTCCCAGGTTGAGGTCCAGCCGTGCACACTGAGCTGGGCAGGTCCCAGGTTGAGGTCCAGCGGTGCCCACCCAGGTTGAGGTCCAGCGGTGCCCACTGAGCTGGGAAGGTCCCAGGTTGAGGTCCAGCGGTGCACACTGAGCTCGGACGTTGGCGAAGAGCTTGGCGAAGAGTTGGCAAGGCAACAGTGGACGTGGAAGTGGAGGCAGAGGCGGTGGAGGAGATGCTGGCGGAGGAGGAGCAGGAGGAGCAGGAGGAAGGTAGCTAGCGAGGAGGAGAAGGAGGAGGAGAACAACTGTGATAAAATCTAACTAACAACCCTCACCTGGCAGGTGGGGAATTAGGTATTTTGGATGGATTTGCATTAAATCAGGATGTCATTGTTTATTTTTTGGGGTCTACAGCAACTATTAGGGCGAAGGGATTTTTCACATGAACCAACTTCATTTGTCAGCAACTTTTCTCGGCGTCCTGGCTGTCAGTGCCATAGCCAGCGGCTACTTCAACTACCCTGTGTTGGTCACCACAGATGCCAATGGAAGATCCACCAGTTAGTTTGATTTGATGATCCTCCCATTTGGTGGTCTCCTAAAATGGGGATACCCCAAATCAGCAAATTTTAATAGGATTTTCCATCATGAATTATCCAGCTATTGGGGTACCTCCATTTTAGGAAACTCCCATTTACATGCCATTTTAGTTTAGGGAGATTACGCTCTCAGGTAGAGGCTCTGATTTTGAGAATTTGGAGCATCAAAAGTCCGATCAATCCTGTCAATCCAGAAGTTCGATAGGCCGGGAGGAGGGAAAGGATGGCTACTTGGATAACAAATAGATCGGGGTGATATTTGGATAGTATCCCAATATCAGTTCTATACTTGCATATCTGAATATGAGGCCTGAACATATTTAAATTTCATGAATGAGAAAAACTCATGATACTAGTTCATTGATTTTTATGTTTTTCAACTTATGTGGCCCCAACATTTCATGTTTTACTCGCATTGAATGTTGCGAACCACGTTTTTTTTTGGCAGTGCAAGTCATGCCGTTTTTTAAGGCCTCAATGCGTGGAATCTAGAAATGCCATGGTCATCAAATCATTGGGATTGCATAGCCATGGGGGATTGGGGGATGGTCAGCAATTCAATAATACGGATGTGTGTATCTATGTGTATATGTATGTATGTATATATATATATATTACACTCACTGATGTAAGAATCATCATCATGGGACGGATGACAATAAACCATACACCCTGGTTTGACCCTAGATCCTAGCACATATGGAGGAGTGAGATAAATGAAATCGAATGAATGCTAGATGATTCATGTTTGCAGCTCCCACTGTAGCTACGCAATCAGTACCCAGTTGCGGATACTTATGTTTTGCAATTTCATTTATATCCAGTATCAGGTATATCCATTTATACATAGCCATGTAAGTCCATTCATATAGATTCGGATCCACTTATACATATATATTTAATAGTGATTTAATTATATATATATATATATATTTAATAGTTATTTAATTATATATAACTATATATATATAACTATAAATATATATATATATATATATAACTCTATATATATATCTGTGTATATATATATATATATATGTACATATAGATTTACACCACTGGTAGTGCCCAGTCCACCTTGGTCCACCAGGTTCTTTGGCTTCGGATGGTTCCAAGTTAGATTTGAGGACCGCGGAGCCATGGGTTTCGACGACCTCTATAAACGGCTTTGACAAAAGCGACCAGTTTTCCGAAATTGATGGTCAAATCTAGTGGCTACGATTCATTAGGGTAGAAACTGATATTGAAATATGTAGTACTCATAACATTGCAATATGTTTAACGATATTTTCCTCATAGACAATAAACATCGGCATTGTAATAGTGTGTGTAACTGGATATAATTGGGTATAATATAGAATTGGGTAGTGTGATATAGATTGATATACCCACAATTGCAACCCTTTACGTAAGGAAAATAATGGACTTCATGGGCTTCAAGTGGGGTCTTCATCCCACAAACCTACACTCAGGTGATCAAATGTGGAGAATGGAAAGTCTGCATGTTTCACTTGAAAGTCTCGTTACCATGTTTGCTGACAGGAGGTTGAAGTCAAAGCAGACAGACTTCCATGACCAAATTATTTACAGACGTCTATGTTTTACAAACCCTGAGATCTAGTGGAATCCCATGGCATTAACGTAAATTTCCTTTTGGGGGTGTGAAGGGATCAGTAGGGCAATTGAGTAGTACCGTAACCAGAAGCAGCTGGGTAGAACTTGGTCACAATTCCCATGGAACATGTACCAAAATCATTTATAAATGGTAGAGTTCCCAGGTTATGTCAAGGTACTTAGATATTACCAGGGGGTAACTATCCCGAGCACTTGCTCACTGACCAAATATCTACTGAATCTATTGTACTGTCCAATTGTCCATCAAAATTTAACTCGCTCAGCTTAACATTCTACCACTAAAACAGCTTGTCCTTCAGGATGGTCAATCCTATTGAGATAAAATGTGATGGCTCTTATGGAGATGCCCCCAAAAAACAGAGCACCTACTGTCAACGGTTGCTCCAACCCATTAATTCTAGGGAACTTTTTCTACCCACAAGGCAGAAAATTGATTACATTACTCTTTATCTAGGCATTTCCCCTGTTGGAAGCAACGTTCTCAAAGTGGAAAGGCTTCCTGCCGTAATATGTGGTGTAAGCCGCATGCTGGGAAGCCCAAGAGGAGGCCAAAAACTCAGATTCTTGGTTTTCTTGCAGAAGTTCGCCACACCGAAGATCGTGCTTAGCAATTACACACCTCACAAACAGAAAGGTGAGCGTTGTCCAAAAACTGGATGCCCCTAACGGCAATTTAAGGCATGGGATTTGGGTTTCAGCCACACCCACCTCTTTGTCGTGCCGCCTGCGTGCCACAATGTTGGGCTTCTGATTTAGTCAGAAACCATCCATGCTGTGGGGATGACACTGTTGGCATCATTTGTAGATATGGACAATCGATGACAATCAAAATATATCAAAATTCTGGTCATTGGAATATGATGAAATAACATCCATTTATAGGTGATGTTCCCAGCCATAAACCTAAATTTATAGAGGATTTTCCAGTTAGCCATGCTTGACGACACCAGTTCGCAATTCCATGAATCACCAGTATTGACAATGTTATTCCCCAATATGAACCAGTACTGACCATTGAATTCGCCATGCTGAAGTTGGCTAGCAGATTTGGTCAGGACGGAGGCTGACTCCCTAGCTGAGGGAGTTGAACAACCGCATTTGTCCAAGAAGGTCAAAGTGACCTCGCTCCATGCGGTGCCTCAAACTTCTTGGTGGCTGATGGAGATATCGTGGGACCATATTTTTGGTCATTTTTTTGCAATATTCGCTTAGCCTTTAGGCCTTATATATTTTGGGTACCTCTCTACTTTAGTTTAGATCCCTGAAATGGCCATTGCTCAGATATTTGTTTTTTCATGGGAGCCTTTTGCATCGATATTATGATGAGGCCCGGAGGATACTTAAAAAAAACACGGTAACATACTACCTCAGGTAAATATACTCAGTTGCAGTCAGGGACAGTTTCTTTTATCTTTTTCCGAAATATGATGCGAACAGCTGAAAGCCCAGGGCCAACTTGGCAGTCAACAACTGGAACAAACATGGGATGTTTTCCAGTCCAAAACTGGTGGATTTACCCACAACATGCAGCAGGTTTTATAGGGAAACTTAGCTTTCAACCTGGTGGATGATTGGGGTGTACCCTATTTTCAGAGAAACCCAGCCCAATATGATGTTTGATTCTTTGTCAACCATGTTCAGATACCTAAATTAATGTAATTCTGGGTATGGATTGAACTAAACAAGAATCCTGCAAGACTAGCAATGCTGCAAGTGTTGATCTTTAGCTGGAACGACACTCACATTGGACCCACATTCTTATCTTGTTGCTGGTTTGTTTGCTTACCAGCAAAGTCCTGCAAAACTGTATCAGCCGGTGCACCGAGAGCAGATTCCTGATTTTTCACCAATAATAGGGTCGTTCCAGCTCAAGTAAGATCAAATGTTGAGAATATTAGTGCAATCCCGTTCCTTCACATTTCTATGAGTTTTGTGTGGATGTACATCCATGATGAATCGTTGGTGTCCACGTTGTTTGTGATATGGGTCATACACCTAGCCACAGTAGCGGTGTAATGGGGTATATGACAACCGTTCAAGAATGAACAGTCTACAGTTGTCTACCGACCGGCAGGTCATGCTCAGTTCTAGATCTCAAATTTTTGTGGGTACTGTACCATGTGGTAGTCAAATTGCTGGAAAATCCCTCATTTGGTTCGATGATTTTCCCAGCTGTAAACCTCCATTTTGAAAAGGTGGACTTCCCAGCCACGTTTGATGACACCAGTTGGTAATTTCATTAATTGCCAATATAATATAACAATATTCAACACTGTTCCCAGCCAGTAATCATTTATTGATCTAATATTCAACACGATAACACGGACATGAAAATCCATGTCCACATTATGATCCCTTGTATACATATACATGTTATATATTATGATAATATATGTATATGTATATGATATGATATGATTTGTCCTATACCATTGTATTCTCATAATATCAGCGATTATATACATCCCCATCATATCCCCATTATATCTCACTATAGAACTATTTTGTGATGGTTCAATCGCCAGTTTGCATAATTAAATCATACCCTCTGGTAAATAAACATAGACCCTGAATTTGCCAGGGTCTATGTTAATTTGCCAGAGGGTAAATCATCTATAAGTCATCTATAGATCATCTATAGATCATGGTTAAATCACAGTTTTTAATATTTACCCTCTTGTTATTTAACATAGCCATGGAAAATGGCCCATTTATAGATGATTTTCCCATTAAAACCTCCATTTATGAGGGATTTTCCATGGCTATGTTAAATAACCAGATGGTAGATCTCCATATTTTCGGCGGAAAGTCTTCCAAAGGGTGGCCACCTCCAGGTCGATGAACTCACTGCTGCCATGGACAGCTTGGAACGCTATGTGCTGACGGCCACAGAGGGCGCATTGAAGAAATCCATGGCGCTACTTGGCCAACAGCCGGGCTTTATAATGCTATATTATGTGATATGGGGTAATGGGGCAGAATTAAAAATTGATGGAAAACATATAACCATATATATATATACATATGATTATATATATATACACGGTTTAACCATCAAATCTCATATGTATAGATGGGTGAATGGAAAGAACATGGGAAACATGTGACCTTTCCTTGACCAACTTCATATGATATTTAAATAGGGGTTTCCTAAGTCATAGGGCTACCCCCAGTTTTCATCCAAGTCATTGGATCTTGTTGAAGTGTTGAAACCCATGGTGACTTTGGGGTGTATCCCCATTTCTAGGAACCCCCCAAATGTTTGAAGATTGGGTATTCACGTCCATGCTTTATTGAGCTTCCATCCTGGAAGGCTGGAAGGTCAGCCGTTTTGAGGGTCTGCTGTCTGGAAAAGCATCCTGGAAATATGGAAGCTGAACATTCCATTGTTTGTTATATAATATGACTGATATATGGAAGGGCAACATGTTTTCTCTTAATCATTATACATTCTCAAAATGTTGTTCCTTCTTTCATGCTGATTCCTGTGTTTTGAATCAGGTGTCTATACAGTGTTTGGAACACAAACCATTCCTTTCAAATGATCCTACGATATTTGTTGATAGCTGTGACCAACAAACCCCCTCCGTTGAAGGATTGGCTAGGGCTGGCTGCGTTTTACCATCAAGAATGAGTTTTCCTGCGAAGCTTCCCTCAAACTAATTTTCTAGCCAGTCTTTTCAGTGAAAAGCTCAACACCTGCCCAGAAACTGTGGTTTCGTGGATCCCGTTGTTAGGTTTTTTCTTAGGATGTAATTACATCCTGGAGAAAAGCAAATCTATCTCCAGTACTGGTTAAAATTATAGTGGTTAAAGTATTTGTTGTTGATTGGTTAAACATATTCTACAATCTTCCAGAGTTTCGACAAAAATGCTCCATGTTTTCCAGATAGGTCCATGATGATCCCAGGCGGCATGTTCTACCATGCTTCAGGGCATCCCATGTTGTACCCCACGAAGTTCGTACTTATCACTTCCAACGGGCCAGGGTTGATGGAGTAAACCTAGTAAACTACTTGACCACATGAGTATATATATATATATATGTATACACAATAATTTATGATTTTCAGATAAATTATTATAACGACCTCACATCGCGGCGGATCTGTAAATCGTGGTTAGGATAGGATTGGGGGACTCATCCCCAAATCGCCTCTGGAACCTCTTGGATTTTAACTTTGGTCTATTTCTTGTGTTGCTGTGTCTTTTTTCCTGCCGCGACTGCCGTTTCAGAGACTCCGAAGCTGTCCAGCCTTGGCTTCTGTCGAACTTTTCAGGTTGGATCATGATTTTGTTTTCTGGATATATCCCCCTATGTCTATTTCTCTCTCTATGGATAGATTATAGTAATTCACCTGCAACTAATTTTCCAGATTGATTTTCCCCAAGGTAGTTTTCGACTGTAATAGTTCTCTATGTTTAACACGGTGCCTCCCCCAGTTATAAATTGGTTTACAACCCCCGTTAACTTCTGAAGCCTTCTGTTATGATTGCCATAAACTCCAGATGAAGTTGTACTAGTTTACTATAGTTATGAACATTAAACCAACTTAGCTATCCAGGGTCCAGGGATATTTATTTTCTTCCCCACCTTACATGTTTGGTGTGTATATACATATATCTATGTATTACAATTCATAGAATACATATATAAATCCCAAAGTACTACATACTCTCTGGTAATTTAACATAGCTATTCTAAGAATTGCAATTTATAGTCTATATATAGTTGATTTAACCATTAAAAAAAAGTGGTTTTCCATAGTTATGTTAGTTTACCAGAGGGTATCTATCCACTTTGTTTTTGCTAACGCCGCCTATGAAGACGCGGGGACTTTTAGCGTTTTTTTAACGTCCGATGTTTCTCGTGGATATGGGTATGGGTCTGGGTGGGGTGATGTTAACGTTCTTGTTAACTTGCACGCTTTCTGGACGCTACGTCCATCACGTTGCTTGGGTTGGGTACGGGGATGGGTGGGGTGATGTTAAAATTTGTGTTAACTTGCACGCTTTCTGCACTACATCGATCACGTTGCTTGGGTTTGTTACAGGGATGTGTGTGGGGTGATGTTAACGTTCGTGTAAGGTCTTTGGCAGTGGACTTACAGCTGGCAATACAGATACAACAATTATGGCAAAGACCTTTGGACAGTTGTGCCACCTGTCTTGGAGCACATCCGACAAAAATGAGTTAAAAAGAAAACCCGCGTCTTTACGGGCGGCGTTACCTTGTTTTTCTATGTGATCTCCAAGGATCATGGGCACCACGCTGCGGCTGCGCCTGGCCTCGAGCGGCTACGAGCCGCGTGAACATCACGTTTCTGAGTGCGGCGAGAGGCGCGAGCGCGACGGCCGCGACGGCGAAGGTCGAAGACATCGGAAAGGCCACGAGCTGCGGCGGCGCGAGAAGCCGGCAGCTGGGCGATTGGAAGTGTAGATGATTGGATGGTGAATATGTTGAAATCTTGGGTATGATAAACCACAGTAGACCACTATTATATAATGGGAATGGTAAGTTGAAAAATTAGGTATAAATGAGGATAATCCACATATATAATGGGATGGTTGAAACCCTATAAATGAGGATAAGCCGGATAAACCGCCTATCAACTGGTGCAGGATTTCGCAACCATCCACAGATAGTGGATATTTAAGAATCACCAAGGGACATTCTTCTGGTCTACCCATCAAAAACGGTGATTCATGGAGATTTCATCAGCACAAATGGGTATCAAAAACTACCCAGAAGGAAATGGGATTTAAGCATCAAACATGAGGTTTAACCATGTTTAACCATAGTTGGATTTACTGTACCCTCTGGTAATTTAACATAGCTATTGAACATGGCTATTTATAGTGGATTTACCCATTAAACATGGTGATTTTCCATAGTTATGTTAGTTTACCAGAGGGTAACAATAGCGAATTTGTGGTTTGAGTCAATCAACAAAAATGGCAGATTTAGCCAATCGCCGCTGGCTTTGTGCATCAACAAATGGGGGTTACTTAAAATGGGAGATCCCGCAAACCTAGGTTTTTCATACTAGCATGTTCTAATTTTGGATTATTTGGAATAGATTAATTTTGGTACTAAACGACAAACATGTTGATGTACAAAAATGAATGTATTTCATGGGATATGAAGGTATTTTTATTTTGTTTACAATACATGTGTAGAAATAACATACATTGGAATAATTGGAATATGTATATATATATATACATAGAGTTGCAACCATATGATGTTTGGGGATATGTTTGCGAGGAGATATATATATATATACAAATGAATCTAACGGAATATATCATACCAGATCATACCAACCTGAAATTGTAGTGTATTATGTGGGGTTTAATGGAGGTCCTAACCAAGCAATTATATGCACCGCTGGGGATTGATCATGCTAATTGGGATATCAACGGGATATGATGGGATGTGATTCTATGATACGATGGAAATAATATATCTAGAACCAGTGTTAACCAATGCACAAGGAGGTTGAGTGGGAGTGTCAATGATATGATTCTAATTATTGGGCTAAGACAAAAAAGGAACATGTTTTAATCTTTCCGGAAAAAAATATGGTTTCAATGAATGACACTGTAAGGTGTTTTCATGAAACCACATGCTTTTAACCGACAACGATGCTTTGCTTTGTCCTTGCGCAACAATTGCGGGGGGGGGGCGGGTGATGGTCCAAAACGGGTAACCCGAAGTGGCAATCCCGGCAATGCGGTGGCAGTAGTGCAATCATTGTGGTTGTAAGTCGGCTTGTGGCATTTGTCGGTGGATAGATATACTTACCATTGTGTTTGCACCGACCAGCTCGAAACAAAATGATCCTCTGGGTATTGAAGTAGCTGTAGTACAAGGTTCCTTCATGCGTTTTTGTTTATATATATATATTCGACACTGCTACTATTGGGTTTGATATGTGTGTTTGGGGGGTTGGGTGTAACTCATTGCTGATTCAACACCTATTTTGGTAGGCTATATATACCGTATACCGTATACGGTATCCCCCATTTGATGTGGTTTTTCATCGTCTCTGGGAAAAGTCCGTCGATCCTTAGCACCAAATGGCCACTTGAGGCCAAAGGAGGAGGGTTTCTTGGATCCAAGGAGGAGGGTTTCTCTGGGATTCACAGTTCCTCGAGCAGCTGGGCGTTGGGGAAGACCTTCTCCGTCAACAGCGCCGCGGCATTGATTTTTGGTGACCAGAAATTAATTGGTACCAGAAATTTACTGTAAGAAATTTAGTTTTTGGTCATGATTTATATAGTTTTACTATGTTTTACTTTACCACTTTACCAGAAATTATGGACTTACACATGAAGACATGGGGAATTAATTGGGAAATATATTATATAGGAATTAACCATCAACAAATTTAGAAATGAACCATGAAAATGGTGAATTAACCATCAAACATGGGGATCAACACAGGGAGATCTATGGAGATTTAACCAACCAATTTGCTAAGTCGAGGATTCTATTGGCATTTTCCCATTCGTGATTCGATTCCACATAAGGAATCGATTGAAAACCATAGAAATATGTTTACCCTCTGGTAAACTAACATAACTATGGAAAGTCACCATTTTGAATGGGAAAATCAACTATAAATGGGCCATTTTCCATAGCTACTGTATGTTAGTTTACCAGAGGGTATTTTCTATGCCCCCAGCAAACCCAAGATCAAGGCTGGGGAGTTCACCGTCGGTTTCAAGCGCCGATGGGAAAAAAAAACGATTGATAAATGATACTCTGATACTCGACTAGTTGTTATAGGGGGTTATGAACTTGCCTGATTTATGAGGGATTATGGACAATCCCTGCGTAGTTTCTGAAGGGTAGCGGGCTTTGAACACTGCTCAGATGTAGGATTTGTTTGCATACAAAACTTGGATACATGATTTTCCTAAGCAAAACAACGAAGAGATGATGACTAGGATATTGATGGGATTTGGATTTGACCAACTGACCAACTGAATGGGGAATACGTTGCCAACTTAGCCAACTCATCTGAATTGCATTTTACGTCCAACTTATCTACAATGACATTATACGGATGTATTTCTTTGTAGCAATGGAGTATTGGTTTCGAGGACATGATGATAAACCACTGGATTTTTGGCTATTCTCAGACAGGCCCATGCAGGCACATACATCAACCATAGGATCATCCTCTTTGTATAAAGATGGGTTGTAAATGACTTGCGCTTTGGATGTGTGGGTATGTTAGTTTATAGTAGTATATATGCATATAATATAATATAGTTTAATATAAAATAAAATAAAATAATATAATATAATACTATATATATACATATAATAATATATATATATACATAATAATATATATTATATGAATATATATATATATACGCATATATCATGCACAAACACACACACACACACTGTGCATACAAATTTCCGGCGTATCTTGGACACAATAGGACAGGGCCTGGTCAGGTATGATCGAAGTGAGTCAGATGGTCTGGTCGTTTCCAGGATTTAGCCCCTTCTGTCTATATTGACATGGTTTTGACGGCAAAAACAAAGATATGGATAGAAAAGACGATTAGGAAGACTTGCTTCGATATTTCCAAGGTTAGCCAAAAACCCTGAGGTCCAACCACCAGCAATGTGAGTAGGAGAGGAACTTTAGGGAAATCTAGCAACACCAACAATGGTTGCATCATGGACAACAAAGATCAAGGAGGAAGAAATTTCAAGGGTAGTGACTGGCACTTGTTGCCGCGGAACACTCCGACATGTTCCTTTTTCGTTTGCCCAAGTTGCTAATTGTTATTACCGTACCTTCTGACCTTCTGACATGTCCATGCAACCCTGCTGCTTGAGCTGGCAACAGTTCATGATGCTAAAAAAAATATGTTGGTTAAAACATAATTAGACATGCTTAAATCCTTTATTATTTATTTGATGTTCAAACATCCGCCCATTGGATGAGATGTTCTATTTTGGCTGCAGCCGTCAGGTACGACCTTTGGCAAGGCGACCGCGAGTTCAGCGATTTTTCAGGGAAGAAACCTCGAAGTTTGTATGATATAGTATGATAATAATAGATATAAACAATTACAGTATATGATATATGATCATATGTCTATATGATATAGTATGATAAAAAGAAAAACACATGTATCTATAGTAAGTATCTAACATCTACAATTTATCATATTGTAATATCCAACTACTGTATATCCAATATATAGTAATTGCGCTATCCATCTAGAAGTGGCAAATCGACATGTTTGTTGCCTATTGTGACGGGGAATGCGTCTTGTGATGTCTTGGGTGTTGATTGGTATGACTTAAATCTGCCCATTTCTGGTCGTTGCTGACGATTATATAACCCCCTTTATGTTGATCAAATCCCAGTTTGTGTTTGTCACCTGCCCCTTTTTCTTACGTAAGTCCCCATTTATTTGCTTTGTCATGCTTTGATCAATACTACTAAAATCCATTGCCATCAAAAAACAATATGATATATATATATATAGTTGGCATATAGTTGGAGCAATTGGAGTCTATATACATATGTATATATATACACAATATATATATATATAATATAATATAATATATGTATATATACGTATTACATATTATATATATATGTATAATTAATATACTGTATCTAAGGTTCCTCATCCCATAGCGTTGTCCACGGTGCCAGGAGCGCTGTGCGCGGCTGCCCGCCGGCACCTTCGCGGCGCCCAAGGGCCTGCTTCCGACCGACTCGGAGGAGATGAAGGAGATGGACAGCTGCGTTGTCTCGTTGGATCATTTGGGGGAAATCCTATGGGATTATGGTGGTTTAATAGTGGCTTAATAGTGGTTTAATAGTGGTTCATAATGGTTAATGAGATATCTGGTTGGTGGTTTGGATCCTTTTTTAATTTTCCATATCTTGGGAATAATAATACCAACTGACTTTCATATTTTTCAGAGGGGTTGAAAGCACCAACCAGTATATGATTTAACGGGGATATAGGATATCCGATGGATATCCACAATGATGGGATATATGATTTATTGGGATAAATCCTATGGATACCATGGGATTTAATAGGAATATCATGGGATGCAATGGGATTAAACGGTTTTTTTAAAGGAAATATATGGTTAATGTTTGATAGTAGTTGATAATGGTTAAGTAACTGGAGTATATCATCATATCAGTATATCATCAAAATACTTCCCATGTATCAGGCAAGGGAATTCACGCATGAAAGAGTTGCCCTCCTGTAAACTAACATATAGATGAATAGATGTGGATGTTTATTTTTTTTATAGGTAATTCATCTATAAATTGGCTATGACTTCCAGATCTTTGTCAATGTACCCCAGGGTAAGATGCGGTAACCCCTGGCTGCCATAAACCTACCTAGCTCTGTTGGAGATGGTTGGGTGACAACGTGGGGTTTATGACAGTGGGTTTAGCAAATTATTAGGAATACCAGGGAATGATTATAGGAATTAGGAATATATTAGGAATATCTTAGGAATATATTGTTAGGAATATATTAGGAATTATTATTACGATTATTATTGCCTTGCATTAGGAATAATAGGAAATACATTGATAATTATTGAAACAATAATGTATATTTATGATAACAAGATATCAATGAGGATAAAAATCAAGGTGATTCTGCACATAAATTGGTTACGTATGGTTCTGGGGAATTTTAAGTATACTCAATGGCAAACTTATAATTGGGTGCATCATAATAATGAGAACCCTTTCATCAATTGAAATGGGGATATTTATTTGGATATATACCCTCTGGTAAACTAACATAGCTATGGACAATCACATTTTTTAATAATGGGTAAATCCAAAATAAATGGTCATTTTCAATAGTTTTTTGTATGTTTATCAGAGCGTAGTTTTTGGATATCATCCAATGAGATTGATGGGAAAATTTCCAGCTAACCTGACGTGACCGGTTCTCAAAATGGGGATGAAATTGGGATTACACATAAGCTCCTCAGCTGATCAACCTTACTTTAGCAAACACCATGGGGATTTGATGTTATTTGACCCTCCAAGCCATTAGGATTCGACCAGCCAATATGTTAAACCTTTCAAGATCAGGATTCAACCAACAAACATTGCGGATTTCACCAACGAGCAGTGATGTAGATATGGGTGTGGTTCAAAGACATGCGACCAAAATTGAGAAATTGGATGGTTGAATAGATGCCCTGACCAATTTTATGAATCCATCGGTAAAAAAAAACCTCAACCGGGCCTTTGGTTTGGAGCTGGCTTGGATCCATGAAAAGCCTCGTGAGTTGTTCCAGGACCCTTTGTCCCATCATGTGAGTTTCGAGCAAAAAAAGGCGCTCCCATAAGGGACTATTTGGCAGATGTTGTCACTACTCGAATGGTCTCTGAAGTTGATAGATGGGTGTTTCCTAAAATGAGGGTACCCCCCAAATTATCCAAGTCATGGATGACCATTTTTGTATTGACACCTATGGTGACTTGGGGATCCCCCCACTTTCAGCAACCTGGAGATGACCTCTGACCACTGGCTGTAGCATCGGCTGTAACATTACCCCATAACAAGTATGGCAACCATTCGAAAAGGATAGAAATACAATATGGAAAACACACATCTCACTGAAATAGTGGCACATGACGTTTCTATCTTCTTCGGATTGCTATACCTATTTACTAATTCAAAGGATGACCCCAGTGATGTGGAAAGTGGAGTTATAGGTGGCTCTGGATTATGATTGGTAAAATATATTAAACATTATTAAACTATAGCCACCAAAAGAAACCCAAGTAATGTTGTGTATATATATATAGAGTAATAATAACACCCTATATATATATATGTTGATGGTTTATATTGTACCACCATCCATTTATGGTAAAATTGGGGATGGTTTTCTATTGCTTTACTAACATGACGTTTCAAAGGAAAGTGGTGGTATTGCAGAGACCGTGGTGTAGTAGACTATAAGAACACTTCTGAGGCCAGCATGATACCTTTTTACACCTTTGTTTCTCAGAAAATGCACTATAGATTACTATAGATCAGCTGTTTGCTTTGCGGCTTTGCGTCAAGGAACAAGAACATTCCAGTTTTTGAGGAAAAGGACCATGTTTGAATAAAGGTGCAATGTGTGAAGGCTTTGGGTATTTTCTTTTTCTGTGGTAAGCTTGAGATCCCCGTCATAAGGTGTTTGGATGTTGTTGGCTTTGTATCATCCCTGTGTTCCAATCTGGGAGTCAGAAAACTAGCCCCGCACCCACAAGAAACACCGGCCTAGAACATGTATTCAAGGTTTCGTCAATGGATTATCAAGCTTTCAGTCATATTTAGTATTCACATTATAACTAGGGTTGGGCAGTAGGCTACTGACCATATTTGGCAAAATTATACAGAATTTTAAAGTTGTGTTCATTCATTTGTTAGTCGCTCTATGTCTTTGGGAAAGAACCTTTTGTTCCCTGTTTTCCAGGTCCCAACTGGGCCAGGTGGTCGCTAAGATGATGCGAGCAGAACATGCGGACCCGCAGCTGACGCGCAGCTGAGCCTGAAGCTTAGGAAATCCTCAGAGACAAAGACACAAACTTTATGAGCCCTGGAAAAGCAACATGTTGAAATAGGTGGTTTTGGAGGTTCATGGTATTTGAAGAACTTATATATACACACTATACTTCTTGATATCTGGACCCTAGTGTTGTTTTTGGAGCCTCTTGGTGTTTATGTTGAACTGTACAGGCACGTCCCTGGCCTCCCTGAGGTTTAACAAACTGATGGCTGCCCGATTCATCGTTTACCCCAAGTTGGCTGACCCCCAACAGTGCTCGGGGTTTATCAGGGTTCGTTGACCACCAAAAACCACTAGTGAGGGCCCCCAAGAGGAGCAGCTATTGTTTGGAGGGTCACCGGATGGGCAAAAATCCCCATGACTGCCCGAGGGCTCCGGCAGTTTTCCAGTTTCACCGACTCGTCGATTCGTCGAAGATCTTTCGATGCACTCTCGTGAAAGGTTGTTGTTCAAGAGATAATCTATAACGGTTATGTTTGAAGTGGTGGCTCGAGTTTTGTCCCAAAACCTGATATGTTTGAAGTCCAATTTCCAACAGCAATCTAATCATCTAAAGAGCCTGAATACCGGTATTACATCCCAAACTTCATGTGGTAGCTTGGATATCTACAACCTCAATCCATGTGACAGTGAAGATTCACAAACCTGACATTTTTTGTGATTCCTTTCTTAATCATTCGTCATGATTCGCGAAAGTGTCTGAAAGAAGAACTCCATCAGTTGCATAGTCTTCAAACTTTTCTCCAACTGAGGTGTTCCGATAAAATCCTTGTCACTGCGATGGTGGCTGCGTCACAGTTGGGTAGTTTTTGTAGGTGTTACTGTCCGATGGTCTGGCACGATATGTCAATGTCATATAGACCATAGATATTATAATGTAATATTATGTATATATTTATTTATATACATACAGTACATGTATAGGTATGTATCATATATATATAATAAACTCAATAGTATACAACATTATATAACATGTGTATGTATATAGACATAACATGTATATATATATATATACATACACATACACATAACGTGTGTATAAATATATACACATACAAGGTTTCACCAAAAACAAGTACTGTACAGTAGGGTGCATAATGTCCTGCGATGACATTGAACTGCTGAATATGATACCTAGAATGATCTAAGCGACAGTCTTCTCTCGCTGATCCATGTGATGGTTATGATGATGGTTCTTCGGGGAAACTTCAAGATGGACTTATCTCTTATTTAGGAATTGCCAATCATTAAAACACATAAATTCTCAGAAACCAGAAAAGGGGAAGTACCGTATAATTTCATCACCTATTGTACTAAGGTGCTGAGGTCAAACCTAGCTCTGAAAAGGTAGTGGCTGGTTTTGTTATTGCAAGCTGTTGCATCCCAACATGACATGACTTGCGATGATCCGCTTGATACAATCACATGTTAGGACGGTGACGTGATCCAGTGTGAGTGATTGTAGGGAATCCCGAGAGCTTGTGAAATACTTTCTCTATAGTATTATGAAGGTTTCCTCATTAATGTTTCGATTACAGCATGTATGTACTGCTTTACTGCCGCTGGTGAGCAATCAAAATTGATATCCATAATTAAATGTGCTTGAATCAGAACCCCCAGCCTCTCAGAGTACACAAGGATCCAAATACCTTCACTTTTTGGAGGCGTTGAACATGACTCTTGGGTGCCATCCGAAAGCTTTGACCAATTTATCCAGAATTAGAGGCCCAATATCACAAATCATATTTCGGAAAGTCATGCAGCTTTCGGTTGAATACGTGAAATTCATAGATATATATATATATATATGTAATTATTACATATATATATGTATTATATATATATATATATTATTATATATTATTATATATTATTATTATTATCATTATTATTGTTATCATTATTATACTATATATACACACATTAATTCAGACTGTGTTTGTTTTGTTCTGATGGACCCAGATGTCAGGAACCCCCTTTTTTGAACAGGGGTGACCCGCCTCCGGATGAGCCACGATACTGCGGGGCTGGCGAAGCCATCCACGATGAAATCTGACCGTCGGATTGTCGTTGCGTGATATCATTGACATCTTCAAAGAATGGACTAGAAAAGACGCAACCGACATTGTTCACTTGTACCCCAGTAGGATGTTGTTATATGTTTGTTTTTGTCCTTTTTTTTCCGACAAATTGCTAGGGTTGCCCAAAATATTGAAAACCAGTGCTTTCAGGATCTTGTACGTAGATGATGGTTACCCTCTAATATTTTCAGGTCTCACATGGAAGATGGATAAGAGAACATATATACATATATATACATAGTTTGCTACCATAGCAGTATCAGATTGTGTGCCACTCAGTATACTCTCAGAGTCATTTTTTTTGGATCTTGCCTCGACATTCAATTCATTTCTTGGCCAACAATAATTATCGCAACAATACACCATTGATCAATCGATGAATTTGTTACCAATGTTTAACTCAAAAAACAAAATAAACTTTAGTGATCATCAGATATCAACAAATTAGTTATCATTCAACGTCATTTATTAATTGATGTTTGTTGACCCTTTTGCTGACACAGTGTGGGCCACCAAAGCTTCTGGCCGATGAGTCACGGTCGGGTCACGGTCGAGTCCGGTCGAGTCGCTGCGCTGAGAGCCGCGCTGATTGGACGATGGGCCCCCAAATCCATGGGAAATCCATCACGTGGATATTCTCGATGTGTGATTCCGTCTTTGTTTCGTAGTAAAAAGGGATAAAGGGACCGTTCCGTGCCATGTGAAACATGTGAAACATGTGAAACCTGGAGGATGACCTTTCTGAAGATCAGTCTGAAGCATTTTGGTCCTCAGTACACATGAAAACGATCAATGCTAAGCGCGCCAATGATGAGGGATGAAGGTTGGCCTGAGGCCTACAGGACCTATCGATGGCTTTTGCTTTATGCCAAGTGCAGGCATAGAAAATCATGTGCTTTGTGACTCAGATAGCTTGCTTAGGGAACTTAGGGTGCTAGCTTCTTCATGCAGCCCAATTAGGAGAATGACAGTTTCTGCAACATACTTTTTGAACCGCGCGATGACGATTGCAGCAAATTTGTCTCCTAAAGGACATCCCAGTCATTCTTGACTACTCCCTCTCCAATGCTAGCGGCTGCTATATAGCAAATAAGGACACATCAAGTCACACCCCAGGAAACCATTGTCAAGCAGCAGCATGACGCTTTCTGGTGGCAACATGTCATGCAACTTGGGAATGACTGAGAGATCTCCCACGGCTTCACTCACGTAATGTTAGGGTAGAGATTTGTCAAAAAAAATGGTCACAAATTCCTCACAAAATCTTGAAATGATGATGAACATTCTTAGTTTCATTGATGAATTAAACACACCCCAAAAATTGTCACAGAAAGTGATTTCACATATTTCATCACCTGCATCCACCATGGTTTCTAAGGGATGTTGATTATGAGCAGCAAACTCCAGGAGGTTCAGCCCCAGCTCTTGAGCCCCATTTGGCTTTAGGGCGTGCCATCTTCGTGAGGAGGATAAATGGGATTGAAAGCTTCTGAAGAGATACAAAGGATGATAAATCATGGCAGCAAAAATGGAATACACATTGATGTATAGGTTGGATCAAGGTGATTTCTGATACATTGGGTTATACTTGGATGAACAATAAGACATGGAGATGGGTCAAAACTTCACAGACATCAAGATCATCAACCTACAGATGTTGGATCTTTATGTTGTATCATGAAGCCCTTTCGATTCTCTGCAGGTCCGAACTTGAGTCCCATACCCAAATGGTTTCAATTGACCTTTTCCCATAGCGTTTTAAAGGCTTCCCGCCACAAGTGCGGAATCTGGGTGCCCCGCATGGCAACTGAAAGGTACCCAGGGATTTCCCCATGGCTGGGGTTTGAAACGCCACCTCAACCAGGGTGACTCCAACCTATAGGGGTCCTATGATGGCCAGAAGTGGGGGAAATGGGTGATTTTTCCTCAGCCAATTGTTTCCCATAGTATTTGGACTCGAAGCAAGCACCCCTCTGTTGTGGTGGTGCATTAGTGGATATATGTGGAATTATGTGGATATTAGAGGCCCGCAGAATCGGTTTTCCCCAAAGGTTCATGGAACAGAAATTGACACCCCGTGCTGTGTTCGCACAGGTCCTAAACGATTGGAAGAAGAAACCTTGTTTTGCTTTCGCACCTATGGGTACGTACCATTGAACGGGTACAGAACATTGGTAGTTTGCTGAGTATTTGCTACATACAAGCAGCTTCTATCGATGTTCAATGGGTTTTTACCCTCTGGGATTCCTGGACAAAAAATCCCAAAAGTTGGGGACAAAAATTCCCAAAGGGGACAAACTTCCCACAAAACTTGGGGACAATAATTGCAACCCACAGCTTCTAAAGAGATAGCCCAACAACATGGTAGAGAGACATGCTAATACAATCTTATATATATATATATATTCATTATTAATAGTTGGCAAGTGTGACATGTAGTATTACTGATTAACCATCAACCTATTGAACTATGACGAAATTCCCAACGAATGACCATCAGCCTGGACCATATCCCAGGGGACAGATGGTGGGGTAGCCCATGGGGCGGAATTGGCGGATGGGTTTTGTGAAGTTTCAAGGTGCCAATTGGTTTGTCTCAAAATCGTGTACTCCAAAAATGCATTAACTAATCATCATTTTCCTATAAATTCCTATAATGTCCCTCTTGAAATGGCAAATTTCGATATTTGGAGGGTGCACATCATTTTCAGACACATCCCATTGGATGGTTTACAGAAGTTGTAGGCTCATCAGCCATGTATGTTGAACCCTTGTTAGGAAATAACACATGTGTGTGCAAAACAATGAAATCACACTATCCTATACTATCCTCAGTTTTGGGTTGATAACATTGTGATCTGCCTATGTTCCTTCATCACAACTCTTCCCGTTTTTG